ATCTTGCTGTCAATTTTGTCAAGGTTGGGAACCAAAGCAATCATAGTACTAGGGGGAGAGAGCACAACTTTGTAGTACCCACAGTCAGTGGCCAGGCTTCAAACACCTTTTATTGTACAGCAATAAAGGAATGGAACAGACTACCCGCACATGTCAAAGCCAGTCATAGCGTGAACCAGTTCAAGAAGAGTGCCAAAAGGTGTCTGATGAATATAGCTACAGAAAGGGAGGGGAATGATTTTCTATTTTTTAGCTAACATACGTGTAAATTTTACCTTATTCCTTGTAATGACCCTCGTATTGTAGATAGTCTTAATGACCTTGGTGTAGCAGATAGTCTTTTTAGTATGATAATAAGATGTTATCTTCATTGTAGAATAATAAGAAAATATTATAACCTTTATACTATAATAATAAGGTAAAAGGACCCCAATGGAAATAAGTCACTCTGTCTGACTTTTTTGGGTTATCCTAGGTTCTCTACACATATGCTGCTATGTATGATAATTCTATGTAACTGTATTTGTGTATACCTGAATAAACTTACTTACTTACTTACTTACTAGGAAAGAATATTTGGAGGCAGAGAAATGTGGTGTGATAGACTTGAGAACGACCTTCTAAGAGTCTCTAGACTGTCCTCCAGGAAGGAGTGTGTATTCCATAATCTGTGAGCTTAAATTAAGAGAGCAAGATAGTCTCAGTATAAAACATTCATCACGCTACTGTCTCGGTCAAATTGGTCAAAGATGGCTGTAGAACTAAGAGGCGTGATCATCGGTTTCTTCCTGAGAACTTAAAAGGATTTCCAATCCAGGTGTTCACACCAGGGGCTCTTAATCCAAGGAATTGGACCTGACCTCTTCCTTGGATCCAGCCTGAATGCCTCCCCTTCCTTGGATCCAGCCTAAATGCTTCCCCTTCCTTGGATCCAGCCTGAATGCCTCCCCTTCCTTGGATCCAGCCTGAATGCCTCCCCTTCCTTGGATCCAGCCTGAATGCCTCCCCTTCCTTGGATCCAGCCTGAATGCCTCCCCTTCCTTGGATCCAGCCTGAATGCCTCCCCTTCCTTGGATCCAGCCTGAATGCCTCCCCTTCCTTGGATCCAGCCTGAATGCTTCCCCTTCCTTGGATCCAGCCTGAATGCCTCCCCTTCCTTGGATCCAGCCTGAATGCCTCCCATTCCCCAGGTTCTATATGAACCCTGTGGGTTTAGCTCTCCCCCATGAATGCAATAATCACCTGGCTTAATTTTCCCTTCCATTTTATCAACGACTGCAGGAGAGCCTTAGGCAGCATTACAATGGCCAGAAGGGATCACTCTTTAGAGTTGCAACCTGTTTGTGTGGCAGTGTTGCTAGCAGCATCTCTGTTGCTCTCCCCGATTGTAGTGAATAACTGTCACCGCCACCATCAAGAATCTCTCTTTTTTTTTTATTAACACATCGGCAGCTTCCTACCAAGGCAGGATGGTCCGAAAAAGAAAAACTTTCATCATCCTTCACTCCATCACTGTCTTGCCAGACTTGCGCTCACACTACAGTTCTAAAATTGCAACATTAACACCCCTCCTTCAGAGTGCAGGCACTGTACTTCCCATCTCCAGGACTCAAGTACAACTTTCCAGTTTCCCTGAATCCCTTCATAAATGTTACCTTGCTCACACTCCAACAGCACGTCAAGTCCTAAAAACCATTTGTCTCCATTCTCTCCTATCTAACAGGCTCACACATGCTTCTGGAAGTTCAAGCCCCTCACCCACAAGACCTCCTTTACACTCTCCCTTCATCCTTTCCTAGGCCGACCCCTACCCCGCCTTCCCTCCACTACAAATTTATATCCTCTTGAAATCATTCTATTTTGTTCCGTCCTACAGCATGCCTGAACCACCTCAGTAACCCTTTCTCAGCTCTCTGGATAATAGTTTTGGTAATCCTGCACCTCCTCCTAACCTCCAAACTACAGATTCTCTGCATTATATTCACACCACATAAGTAAGTAAGTAAGTAAGTAAGTAAGTTTATTTAGGTATACACAAATACAGTTACATAGAATTATCATATATAGCAGCATATGTGTAGAGAACCTAGGATAACCCAAAAAAGTCAGACAGAGTGACTTATTTCCATTGGGGTCCTTTTACCTTATTATTATAGTATAAAGGTTATAATATTTTCTTATTGTTCTACAATGAAGATAACATCTTATTATCATACTAAAAAGACTATCTGCGACACCAAGGTCATTAAGAATCTACAATACGAGGGTCATTACAAGGAATAAGGTAAAAAATTTACACGTATGTTAGCTAAAAAATAGAAAATCATTCCCCTCCCTTTCTGTAGCTACATTCATCAGACACCTTTTGGCACTCTTCTTGAACTGGTTCACGCTATGACTGGCTTTGACATGCACGGGTAGTCTGTTCCATTCCTTTATTGCTGTACAATAAAAGGTGTTTGAAGCCTGGCCACTGACTGTGGGTACTACAAAGTTGTGCTCTCTCCCCCTAGTTCTATGATTGCTTTGGTTCCCAGCCTTGACAAAATTGACAGCAAGATATTCTGGACATTGCTTGTGAGCAATTTTATAAACATGATTTAGCTTCAGTTGTTTTACTCTGTCTTCAACATTCAGCATATCCACTGCCTCCAGCCTTCTCCTTGTTGCAACATTCACCACCCATGCTTCACACCTGTATAAGAGCATTGATATAACTATACTCTCATTCCCCTCTTTGCTTCCATGGATAAAGTTCTGTCTCTTTAGACTCCTCAGTGCACCACTCACCTTTTTCCCCTCATCAATTTTATGATTCACCTCATCTTTCATAGACCCATCTGTTGACATGTCCACTCCCAGATATCTGAATACATTCACTTCCTCCATACTCTCTCCCTCCAATCTGATGTCCAATCTTTCATTACCTAATTTTTTTTTATCCTCATCACCTTACTGTTTCCTATTATCACTTGAGGAAGAAATCCACTAAACTCACAGTTCAACGCTGGTTTTTGTCTATGTGGTGGATGTGACAGTTGATGTGGGCGGAGAATTGTGGAGCCTTGAAGAATGTTCGTAAGAACATAAGTACATATGCAGTAGGGATAACAGTGCTTGCATCATGCACAGAAATTATTATGGACACCTCATACAAGCCAGACTAGTCATTAATTATTAGTCTAATGAAAACCAAGTGCTAAACCCACAAAGGTCATACAGCACAGTAGGGCAGGGTGTGTTTGCTTGATTAGAAACTAGAAAGGGTGGAGAGGATAAGAGGTAGAGTTAGAAAGGGCTGCGAGGAGTGCTGAAGGAAGTACCATCAAAGTTTGTGTAATAAATCTGTTGCTGTAGAAAGTCAGAGGGAGTTTGCATCAAAGGTGGGTCCATCAGCTAAGAGGGAAGATAAAGTAAGGGAGTTAGAGCGGTGATGACTTCGAAGGTAAATTCTGCCTGCTTGCTGGTAGACAGGACAGTCCAATAGAATATAGCAAACTGAAATTGGAGCCTGATAGTTCCCATTGAGTGGAACTGGGTGCCTCTCCATGAGATGCCCATGAGTGAGATGTGTGTGCCTGATGAGAAGATGGGAAAGCATAGTCTTCCAACCCCCCATATCAATGATAAGAAGGCCAGAAATCTAAGCTCAGCATGATAGATTACAGTAATTTGTTATGAATCAGCTGAGACCAACATTGTTACCAACGGCTGTGAAGGTGGCTAGCGATTACGGCAAAATACAGGAGGCCCTCCACATTTTCAAGAGTTAGGGGATCAAGAACCTCACGAATCTTGAAAATTCACGAATGTTTGGTGCGCAAATATGATGTAGGGAAATACATATAATGATACTCTACTGTAGCATTTGCGAATGTTTTGATGCACAAATATATTGTAGGAAAATATATTAATAGCATTTACTTAGCCTAACAATACTGCTTCCTTAACCTATTGAACCATGAACAATCATAAAACACATGAAAACATCATAAACTATTGTATATATGAATGCATCTGGGCATTCGCGAATGTTTGAAGCTCGTGAAAGCAGAACTCGCGAAAGTGGAGGGTTAGCTATAGTCTGAGAATGAAATAACCCTATATGAAACATGAAGGTTAAGTACAGCTGACTGACTAGTCGTTAAAAAAAAAATTATGGAGTCAAGAGTTGATTGACACATCCAGCACAGTTGTCCAGAACATGTAGTTTTAGCCTGTCAGGCATCTCCCACCAAGGTAGGGTGACCCAAAAGAAGAAACACTTTCACCATCATTCACTATCACTGTGTTGCCAGAGGTGTGCTGATACTGTGGTTCAAATGCCCCTCTAAACTGTAAATAACAGGCAATGACTGTGCACTCTCTCTACACCTTAATGGTACCTGGGAGTTAGTTGACTGGTGTGGGTCACGTCCTGGGACACTGACCTGATTTGCCCAAAATGCTCTGCATAACAAGTGGCTTTCTATATAGTAGTATGTCAGCTAGGGCTGTATACCATGTACACATCCTTGTAGTAAATAAAGATATTATTATTATATTATTACAATGTATACTCAGTTTTTCTCAGTCTATATTGTACTGACAAAGTTCCTAGTAAACTAAATGGTTCCTTAATAGCTATCCTTGTGCTGCATCTGTGTCAAAAAGATTTCATTATTAATACAGTGGACCCCCGCTTAACGATCACCTCCAAATGCGACCAATTATGTAAGTGTATTTATGTAAGTGCGATTGTACGTGTATGTTTGGGGGTCTGAAATGGACTAATCTACTTCACAATATTCCTTATGGGAAAAAATTCGGTCAGTACTGGCACCTGAACATACTACTGGAATGAAAAAAGTTTGTTAACCGGGGATCCACTGTAGTTCTCTTTTTTGTTGAGCCAAATACCAATGAGCAACAAGCAGGTAACCCTTTTATTAATGTTTTTTGTAAGTAAGTATTATATTTTTAAAGTTTCAATTGAATATAACATAAGTATTGTGTTGCAGAACGTACAGTGTGATCAGTTCGCGTGTGGTGCGACCTAACAGGGACTACCATGTGGTGGTGTCGACACATGGCACCACAGAGGCTGTCAAGATCAACGTGGAGGTGGGTGGCAAGCAGGACGCTGGTGGTGTCATCCTCAATCGTCAGCTGGCTGACCTCGCCCCTGATTCAACTCAAGTACTTAAGTTCCAGGTAAGTTAGCTATTCACCTTTCCATTTCCAGATCCAGTTTGTTTTTCAGACATGACAAGTATTTTCACATTAATTGACAAAGACAGTGAGAGTTTGTTGATTTATTTTTTATATAAGCTTCTACAAAAAAGAGTAATATTTACTGTTCCATGCTAGAGTAACATGAATTAAATTATATTAGCTTACAGTGTAGGTAACAATAGCAAAATAACAATGCATTACATGTATATGGTTCCATAGTGTTGGTATCCTAATGCACATTTAAGTTGGAGGATGAGCTGTCAAGTATGTATTATCTCTGGTCTAAATTCCTTTCAATGGGAGGTACTTTGATGTTGGTGAAGGCTGCTGTAATTAACTATCCCTTGGATCAAATCTCTTACCTTCTGTGCAGCAGGTGCTGCATGATCCTTTATGGGTTTGACACTTGAGATTGATTAATTAATAAAAATAATCATGGTTGAGTTACACCCTACCGATGCTCGGTGCCAAAAATTGATACATATTTGCAAGTGTCCCTTGAGCCTAGATGCATCCTCCTCTTACAGATTGGAGAGCTGGGTCCTGGGGACTACAACCTGACAGTGAGTGGTTCTGGTGGCTTGACCTTCTACAACACCACATCACTGGAGTATGTGCACAAATCTTACTCTGTGTTCATCCAGACGGATAAGTCAGTGTACAAACCTGGTGACACATTGAGGTTCAGGGTAGTGGTGGTCAACCCCATGCTCAGACCCTCCGTCACGGGTGCCATTGATGTCTTCATTATGGTGAGTAGTATTGGGATTGGGAACCACCTATCCTCCTAAGGCAAGTGCTGATTTATCACTCATGATTTAATGTGAAGCTCTTGGTATATGGTACATTACCGAGGCTGTGTAAGATTTAGTTATTGTGGATTGTTGTCTATGAGTAAAATTTAACCATGTAAATACAATAATACACAGAGGTAATAGAATGTTTTGAAACACAAATAGAGAACAGAGACCCAGTGAGCACATTGAAATTGACACTCAAATATTCACATTTTCATTCCAGTGTCAGTCATACATTTGATGTTTTTATCAAAAGTAATTTGCTGACATTGATTAGTAGGATATGCTATGTAGAAAAGTAATCAAGGAGAGGAACTAATTTAAATACCATTTCAACAGTTTATTAGTGGAAATTTTCTCTAGTTAATGGTTTATCATTATACCAATACAGTGGACCCCCAGTTAACGATATTTTTTCATTCCAGAAGTATGTTCAGGTGCCAGTACTGACCGAATTTGTTCTCATAAGGAATATTGTGAAGTAGATTAGTCCATTTCAGACCCCCAAACATACACATACAAACACACTTACATAAATACACTTACATAATTGGTCGCATTGGGAGGTGATAGTTAAGCGGGGGTCCACTGTACTACTAATTAACTATCATGGTAGGAGAGTAAGACCTTAATAGAGTTCTCTGTCATTTATTCCATAGTTCAGTGAGTCTGTAATATTGAGAATTTAAATTAAACAGGAACTTAAATAGTATGACTTAATGCAAAATAAGGATTTCAGTAGCAAAACTGTTGCAGCATAAAATCCTACGGAATGCAATACTGACTTTTCAAAATAGTAGTCTTCTTGAGCCTCACAACACAGTACTTTTCTTCCCTACTTGTCTGATGCAATATTAGCTGGTACTTACTCAGGACAGGAAATACCTTCATTCATTGAGAGATTTGGATTTCAGTATATCTTCTGTACACAGAATTTAATTAATTCACTGTTTTAGGGATTAAAGTATTCTTGATGTTAATATACAGGTGAATTGCAGCTTTAATAATGTATGTGCCATTAAAATTTTTTGAAATATCTGGACCTCCCTCCCTTAGGATGGGGCAGGAAACCGGGTGAAGGAGTGGCGACGGGTGTTCACTAACAAGGGTGTGTGGTCTGGGGAGCTGGAGCTGGCGGAGGAGCCTGTGTTGGGCCGCTGGAACATCACAGTTGATGTACTTGGTCAGACTACCTCCCGTGCCGTCACAGTTGCTTATTATGTTCTTCCCAAGTTTGAAGTGATTGTCTCCTTGCCCCAGTATGCCACTTTTGGCCAGAAGGAAATGATCGCTACCGTGGAGGCCAAGTAAGTGGTGTGGCAGAGGGAAACAATAGTGGTGGGTGGGAGTAGAGTCAGACCCAAATTGTACTACAGTTTCTTCTTTACCTTATCAGTATTTCTATTGTGGTTGCTTCCCATTCATCCATAATTTTTGTTCTTGTGTTGCTTCTTGAAATTTTTATACCACACAAACATGCAGAGTTTTATGAATGGTAAGTGAACTTCCCTGGCCAGGTACACATATGGGCGACCAGTGAAGGGGGAAGTGACCCTTCAGGTGACCCCTACCTATAAGTATGGTTACCTACAAGCACCTTATGATGACCCCATCAGAGTGGTTAAGCAGATGAAGGGAAAAGCTGATATTGTCATTGACCTTCAAAGTGACGCAAGGTTAGTGATTGTCTCCCAAGGTGAGCTTACAGTGAATCTTGTTTCTCAAAGTGAATGTAGTGCTTTTTGCATTACATTTGGTGGATTAATTGAACATCAAACTACTGAAAATATATAAATCAGTTTGCGGGTGACAGTTAATTGCATTATTTCTTTATGGTAGATTGCGAGGTGATTATGCTCGAGAACTGGAGGTGACTGCATACGTGCAGGAGGAACTTACTGGCCGGGTACAGAATGCCACCTCCCGCATCACTGTCTACCGCTACCCCTACACACTCAAACTAGTCCGAACCTCTGACAGCTTCAAGCCAGGTCTCAAGTACACTGCTTTTGTAAGTTTTGTTGCTCTTCTAGAAACCTTTGTAATGATTGTCATACAATTTCCTCAACATCATATAGGTAAAACTGCTCACATCACCTCTGGAAGCCCTGACATGTAAACCAATACTGAGGAGTTGTCATTTCATCAAATATAATAAGCAGATTTAGACATACTTGTTATATATATTATATAATTTTTCAGAAGTTAAATTGGTTTTAAATGTCTTTAAACTCTTTTTTTTTTTTTTTGACAAATTAAAAAGTGGGAAAGACATTGATATTATAATTAGCAGTATTAAAGAAGATGGTCATAAGTTTTTGCACAGTAAGCAGCAGTGTTAACATTTTGTGGTGTTACACCATAATTAATACTGTCTATCAGAAGTTATAGATAATAAATAATTTGAAGTTGTATATTTATAGTTGAATATGAGAAACATCTGTATCATCATTTTCTGTGCTGAAAGTACAGTGCAGTATTTCCATATCTTGCTATCTAACACACAAAAAAATTCTCCACCAGCTAAAAGTATCATACCAGGATGATACACCTGTAACATCTGGAGAGGTGAGTGTGCGACACACCTTCACCAGGAACCAGGAGGACTTTGTCGAAAATGTGCACACCATCCCACCTTCAGGTATCATCACCTTGGAGTTCTTGCCGCCCTTGGATGACGATGTGCTGAGTCTGGCTCTGGAGGCTCGTTACCTGGACCTCACCCAGTGGCTTGGGGATATTATAAGAGCACAGAGTCCCACCAATGCCTTCCTTCAGGCCACGCTCATCACACAGAACCCTAAGGTCGGTCTAGAGCTCTTCCATTTTCATAGAAGATTTTGTACCTTTTATAACTGCTTCAAAACTCAACTTCACTTCTTTCCTTATTATCCAAAGCCATGTATTAATCTTTATTTTTAAGAAATTTTGTCTCTGCCCTACTGCTTGCCCCAATACCAGATATATCTCCCAGTCCTACCTTAGACCTCTATACAGTGCATATCTAAGTTTGCTTAGGACAGTTTTTACTGGTAGCTCTACTAGAATGCATGGAAGGTACCATGTAAGGACCATTCTTATCCACAGATCCCAATGTAGCTTCTCTATTTACCTAAGAAAAAGATGCAAGTCCCAGTACTATCTTAGAACGACATGTAGATCCCAGTACTACCTTAGAACAAGATGTTGATCCCAGTACTACTTTAGGACAAGATGTAGGTCCCAATATTTACCTTAGAACTAGGTCTCAGTACTTACCTTAAAACAAAATTTAATCCCAGTATTTCTATACCATAAATAATTGTAACAGGGTAACATTTACAAGACAGAGCTTATTTGCTTATTTGTTTGTTCAGTTCCTTTGTTTGTAAAGGAAGATTATTGAGACAAATTTTTTACCACCAGTACCGTACTTCAGGAACTATCTTTTTTTTTTTTTTTTTTTTTCAACAAGTCGGCCGTCTCCCACCGAGGCAGGGTGACCCAAAAAAGAAAGAAAATCCCCAAAAAGAAAATACTTTCATCATCATTCAACACTTTCACCACACTCGCACATTATCACTGTTTTTGCAGAGGTGCTCAGAATACAACAGTCTAGAAGCATAAACATATAAAGATACACAACATATCCCTCCAAACTGCCAATATCCCAAACCCCTCCTTTAAAGTGCAGGCATTGTACTTCCCATTTCCAGGACTCAAGTCCGACTATATGAAAATAACCGGTTTCCCTGAATCCCTTCACTAAATATTACCCTGCTCACACTCCAACAGATCGTCAGGTCCCAAGTACCATTCGTCTCCATTCACTCCTATCTAACACGCTCACGCACGCTTGCTGGAAGTCCAAGCCCCTTACCCACAAAACCTCCTTTACCCCCTCTCTCCAACCCTTTCGAGGACGACCCCTACCCCGCCTTCCTTCCCCTATAGATTTATATGCTTTCCATGTCATTCTACTGTGATCCATTCTCTCTAAATGACCAAACCACCTCAACAACCCCTCTTCTGCCCTCTGACTAATACTTTTATTAACTCCACACCTTCTCCTAATTTCCACACTCCGAATTTTCTGCATAATATTTACACCACACATTGCCCTTAAACAGGACATCTCCGCTGCCTCCAACCGTCTCCTCGCTGCTGCATTTACCACCCAAGCTTCACACCCATATAAGAGTGTTGGTACTACTATACTTTCATACATTCCCTTCTTTGCCTCCATAGATAACGTTTTTTGACTCCACATATACCTCAACGCACCACTCACCTTTTTTCCCTCATCAATTCTATGATTAACCTCATCCTTCATAAATCCATCCGCCGACACGTCAACTCCCAAGTATCTGAAAACATTCACTTCTTCCATACTCCTCCTCCCCAATTTGATATCCAATTTTTCTTTATCTAAATCATTTGACACCCTCATCACCTTACTCTTTTCTATGTTCACTTTCAACTTTCTACCTTTACACACATTCCCAAACTCATCCACTAACCTTTGCAATTTTTCTTTAGAATCTCCCATAAGCACAGTATCATCAGCAAAAAGTAACTGTGTCAATTCCCATTTTGAATTTGATTCCCCATAATTTAATCCCACCCCTCTCCCAAACACCCTAGCATTTACTTCCTTTACAACCCCATCTATAAATATATTAAACAACCATGGTGACATTACACATCCCTGTCTAAGACCTACTTTTACCGGGAAGTAGTCCCCCTCTCTTCTACACACCCTAACCTGAGCCTCACTATCCTCATAAAAACTCTTTACAGCATTTAATAACTTACCACCTATTCCATATACTTGCAACATCTGCCACATTGCTCCTCTATCCACTCTATCATATGCCTTTTCTAAATCCATAAATGCAATAAAAACTTCCCTATCTTTATCTAAATACTGTTCACATATATGCTTCAATGTAAACACCTGATCTACACATCCCCTACCCACTCTAAAACCTCCTTGCTCATCCGCAATCCTACATTCTGTCTTACCTCTAATTCTTTCAATTATAACCCTACCGTACACTTTTCCTGGTATACTCAGTAAGCTTATTCCTCTATAATTTTTACAGTCTCTTTTGTCCCCTTTCCCTTTATATAAAGGGACTATACATGCTCTCTGCCAATCCCTAGGTACCTTCCCCTCTTTCATACATTTATTAAACAAAAGTACCAACCACTCCAACACTATATCCCCCCTGCTTTTAACATTTCTGTCATGATCCCATCAGTTCCAGCTGCTTTACCCCCTTTCATTTTACGTAATGCCTCACGTACCTCCCCCACACTTACATTCTGCTCTTCTTCACTCCTAAAAGATGGTATACCTCCCTGACCAGTGCATGAAATTACTGCCTCTGTTTCTTCCTTAACATTTAAAAGTTCCTCAAAATATTCTCGCCATCTACCCAATACCTCCATCTCCCCATCTACTAACTCCCCTACTCTGTTTTTAACTGACAAATCCATATTTTCCCTAGGCTTTCTTAACTTGTTTAACTCACTCCAAAATTTTTTCTTATTTTCATTAAAATTTCTTGACAGTGCCTCTCCCACTCTATCATCTGCTCTCCTTTTGCACTCTCTCACCACTCTCTTTACCTTTCTTTTACTCTCCATATACTCTGCTCTTCTTATAACACTTCTGCTTTGTAAAAACCTCTCATAAGCTACCTTTTTCTCTTTTATCACACCCTTTACTTCATCATTCCACCAATCACTCCTCTTTCCTCCTGCCCCCACCCTCCTATAACCACAAACTTCTGCCCCACATTCTAATACTGCATTTTTAAAACTATTCCAACCCTCTTCAACCCCCCCACTACTCATCTTTGCACTAGCCCACCTTTCTGCCAATAGTCGCTTATATCTCACCCGAACTTCCTCCTCCCTTAGTTTATACACTTTCACTTCCCTCTTACTATCTATATTTGTTAATTAACTTCAACTAATGAATATTGGTTCTCCATTCCTAGCATGCAGTGAAAAATATTAGTATTAATAAAACAAACTCCTTGATTTCTCTGTCATTTTAATAGTGAATTTTATGTGCACTTTTACAGAATAATCTTGTGTTGGATTTTTAATTACCTACAGTAATTTTCCATTTCATTTTATTGTGTTAACATGAATTACTCATTATTAAAGATTTAAATGAATTATGTACTGTGTCTCACTAATGTACATTAACGACATTACTAGCTTAATCTATTAGCTCAATTACTTCTGTTAATTACCTGACAAACCTACAAGTCTTTTAATGATATGAGGAGCCTCTGATGGCACTAGTAGACTTTTAATGACTTTGCTAGCTTATCATGCCATGCTAACAAAGAGTCTGCTTATGACCAAACTAGCTGTTAACCAATCCTCTCCTCTTTTCAACCAGCCTCTCGATGACTTCTCTAACCTTAAACTGAATCGACTAAACTTTTAACAATTCAAAACACCTTATATCCAACCTGACAAGCCTCAAATGAGTCTCAAAGCTTCTCTTAATTAGAATCATTATTTTTAACCATATTTCGATGATTTGACTATTGTCTTAATGACTTTCATAACCTAATGATAGCTTCTTAAGGACTTGTCTAGCTTTTTTAAATTACTCTCTATAAAATACGCTTCTTACTGTATTTAACGACCACTAATCTTGTAGTGACTAAAATAACCCTCTCATAATGACTCGACCAGTATTCTCGCCCCACTGAATGACTCAGCAATCCACTTGACTATGCTGCCTCATTTTCTATGAGTCAGTTTAGTTACCTTGCTCTTGTTGCATGCTATTGCAGCATGACTGCTCTAATGTTGCATGGTTTACCTCCCCTCCCCTCCCTCTGCACCCCTCACCACCTTCTCACTGCATGGTTCCCTGTGATGTCGTCAGGTGGGCCAAGAAGTGGAGGTATCTCTCGACACCATGGAATCGGTATGTTACTTCCACTACTCCCTTTTGTCTACCACACACTTTCTCTAACCCCTTTGTGTACCACATTGTTCCTCTCTCTTAATGCTTCACTATTTCATCCTCATTAGTTTTGGTTCTAGACTATCATCCTTTGGTTCCCAACACTTCTCAGAGGGGTCCACCACAGATAGCTCCTTCCCAGTAACACGATTCTGCTCTTAATTCCAACATTTCTCTGATCACTTTCTCCAACACTGTGCTAATAATTCCATAAGTTTTCTATCAGATTTCATAGTTTTGTTGCCATTACTTTCATAAAAATATTCTTTACCATTTCAGAAGAAAAAACAAAAAAAAAGTGGACACTAAGAGCAATATTAATTTCAGAGGGCTTGAACAGTGAAAGGGTTAACCAATATTTTGAGTGTGTTGGATGCTTTTTTCACATTTAATATAACTGAAAATTGTTCAGATTTTTATTTTCATAACTGATTTTTGATATCTTCATCAGATTACTAAATACATACTGTATGTAGATAGATTCATAAATTTTATGTTTTCGTTTTTCAATTTGTAAGCCTCACGGGGGTCTGAAATTAGTAATAACAGTGGCATCCCAGAGAAATTCAGTTATTTAATATTTAACCTCCCTGGGCTATTTAATACTTTTTAAGTACTGTATAAGCATTCCTTTATATACTGAATGTAGATATCTTAATTTAAAAATATTGAAAAAGTATCAGTATTGACCTAAAATTGAGTATCAGTATCTGCAAAAATTTTGGTATTTCCCATCCCTGTTACTGAGTTGTAAACTGTGAACAAGATGCATTATTGAGTTGTCAACTGTGAACAAGATGCATTATTGAGTTGTCAACTGTGAACAAGATGCATTATTGAGTTGTCAACTGTGAACAAGATGCATTATTGAGTTGCCAACTATAAACACTATCTTGGCAGAGTGCAAACAGTAGTACATACAGTGGACAGTTACTCTTCACAGTAGTACATACTGTATATAGTTACTCTTTACAGTAGTACATACAGTGGATAGTTACTCTTCACAGTAGTACATACTGTATATAGTTACTCTTCACAGTAGTACATACAATGGATAGTTACTCTTCACTTGTTACTGTAGCTCAGTAGTTGTGAAATTTAATTGGTTCCCAATTTTCCCCATAAGTGTGGATGTATGTAACCTTAAGTGTGACTAGTTAATGTTCCAAATTGGACTGAAACATCATCATAAAGTTTCTTTCTCCTATGTTTGGGTTGTTTGTCTATTGACCTTAATTTTTTAAGTGTTTGTAAGTTGGGAATCCTTTATATATAATGTATCTAACTTTAAATTACTCCCATACAGCCATTAAATATTCTTCACATGCAGTTAAGTAGACTATATCATGTCTTGAATTACAGTTAGCCTTATTTTAAGTATAGTTTAGGATACAGTATTTTAGTAATTGCTGTTGGAGTGTGAGCAGGGTAATATTTTGTGAAGGGATTCAGGGAAAGCTGAAGGTGGGAAGTACAATACCTGTACTTTAGAGGAGGGGCTTGGGATATTGGCTGTTTGGAGTGACATCTGAGCTGTTGTATCTGCATGCTTCTGCAAAGACAGTGATAGTGTGAATGATGGTGAAAGCTTTTTTTTTTTGTTTTTGGGTCACCCTGCCTCAGTGGGAGATAGACAGCATGTTGAAAAAAAAATTAATTGTTATTAATGATTTTATTAAGATTAATAGTATAAAAAATTGTTTAATGATGACCTGGTGTATTATGATGAATCAGGTTCATGCTGTGTTGATGCTGATCTGTGATACATGATGATTTCTGACATATGCTATCTTCATACTGTGATTTTTGACCTGATCTATGGCATCTCATCTCTGAGTATAGGGAAGTGAACCCCTTTTGTCAGGCTATGATATGTGATGTTACAGTACCTTGTGTGACTGTACTGCAGGTAGGATGAGGATATGTGATGTTACATTACTTTTTGTGACTGCTGCAGGTAGGAGAGCTGGTGGAGGTGGATCTTAATGCCACACAAAATATGATCCACTTCGTGTATGAAGTCATCGGGCGAGGAGATGTCCTCTTTGCTGACACCCTCCAGGCTCACCAGGGCACCACTCATATCTTCAGGTGGGTTTTCAGGATCACCAGAAAGGGAGAAAGATAATGAATATGAATGAATCATTGATATTACTACAAGTACAGGTAATCAACAGTGTGGTTAATTATTGTTGTTGTTGCCAGGTTTATGGCAACAGCACCCATGGCACCCAGGGCTCGCCTTGTGGTCTACTATGTCAAGGACGACGGTGAGATTGTTGCAGACTCCCTGCACTTTGCCGTCTCTGGTGCCATCCAAAATGAAGTTAGTCTTACCTTCTTCCTCTATATACAGTGGTTCACTTCAGAAGCTTTATCACATGAGCATTTACTTTCATGTTGTGTTCATTACCCAGCATTTTTCATGACTTTTAGTCTTTATTCTTATATATTTGCACAGTGGTTACATTAAATGTGATAAAAGATGATTACTTAGTGGTGGTGTTGCAGGTGTCAGTGAACCTGACCCCAGCATCAGTGGAGCCAGGTGGGGACGTCTCTATCACTGTCACTACCCGACCCAATGCCTTCGTTGGCCTCCTTGCTGTTGACCAGCGTGCACTCCTGCTTGGTACTCACAACCACTTCTCACAGGTCAGTGCAGGTCACTCAGAAACTAAGGGAAACATTTGCTCAACACTCCCCACTACTTATATGTTGATACAAGTGCTTTTTTTTTAAAGGATTTCATAGTGCAAAGGGAAAAGCACTATGCTACAAACACATGCAGTCAAATAGGCAAGAAGAGTGATACATGACTTGGGAGAGCCAGACAGGTTGCTATGACAGGGAGAAGAAAGCTTAAGGGAAACTGTCATACAAAACACAACTAATGCAATGTGTGTAATATTAGTGTTGATTATAGTTATTAACACTCTTGCTACCATAACTTTCTTACAGAAGATGAATAATTTTCACAAACTGGTATTGTATAAGCAGTAAATACCATTATACAAGCTGACAACTTAATCAAGTACAATTGATTACATCATAAGGATGTTTTACATCATCTATGTAATGCATAAATAAGTACACAGTAATATGACTTTCTAGTACAGACATTTTACACTGATAGGGACTTGAACTTGCAGGGAGAATTGGGGTTGAAAGGAATTAGCACTCATAGAGAAGAGGGACTTAAATCTGGGGAAGGAGCTGAGATAGAATTGCTTTTGGGGATAGGAGTTTAAAAAGAAAGTCATCCTAGTGACTGCATCACTAAAATCAATGTGTACATGCAGGAAGAGGTGGTGGAGGAGCTGGAGAAGTATGACCCTGGCAGGAGGAACCTGGAAGGACCCTGGTTCCACCTTAGCCGCCGCAAGAGGGCGCTCTTCAACTGGCATGGCACCACCACTGCTGATGATGTCTTCAAGGTCAGTCCTTGTACTCTCTTATAGGGTATTACAGTTATTTTCATATTGGCCAGTGCTGGTTCTGGTGTTTTAGCCAGGATAAGGAGCAGTATAGAATTCTTCCTCCATAAGCCATGTGTGTCATAAGAGGGGGCTAAAATGCTGGGAGCAAGGGGCTAGTAACCCCATCTCCTGTATAAATTACTAAATTTAGGTCACCCAGCCTCATTGGGATACAGCTGGTTCATTGAAAAAAAAGTCCAATATAGTTTTTCACCCTGTGTGTGTTGTGTATAATTGAAAATGCTGTTATTACATTGTGAATTAGATTAACATATCTATTATACATACATTGTTTTATTTACATCCTTGTACATATTTGGTACTGCTGAACATTTAGTTATGTTGAAACAAATGTGGTGAAATCCATTGATTCACAGACTATGTAGTGTAGGTCTCCAGTAATATTAGGGAGTTGACTTTGTTGATCAGACCAACATCTGTATTCTGTTGACCTAACCAGTACTATTATGTATTGGTCTGTCAGCCAGATCAACACTACAGGTGTTGGTTTGCTCGATAACTTTGGAGTCAAAGAAATATGTATAATATAGTTCAAACTTTAATACAATTATTTTTCCTTTCTGCAGTATACAAAATGTAGTTTACATGTTATAAAATATTGTTAAGCACAAGAGAAGGAGTGACTATATGAGAGTCATTATAACCACACAATATCAAGCTTGTGTGTGTTTCAGAATGCTGGTGTGGTGGTTCTGACTAATGGGCTTGTGTATGACTTCAACCCATTCTGTGAGTACTATCATTTTGACTACTTTCTTTCCCACTCTCACTGATCTTAGTCAGTTTTTCCCTCAGAACCATGGATGAAAATATTATTATAATTCATAAGTTTATTGAATAATAAAGATTTAACTGCTTTGGCTGTTTAGTAATTTTGTCACTTGACTTGTAGCAATGATTTCTTGTATATCATAAAGATTGCCACCACTAACAAGTACCAAAATTTTAATTTAAATTAGTATTCTTAGTTTGATAAGCAATTTTTTCAGATTCTTGCATGGGAGGAGCTTAATTGGTGTATCGTAATGCATATACATTGTTAATATGATAGCTATTCCTTATGTTCAAATGTGTTAAATTAGAGTTTTTACCTTGTATTAGTCTAACCTTAACCCTTGCCTAATTTTGTACACGGCAGTTGTACCGCACTTGGTGTTCTTATGTACTTACACACCGCATGATAAGTGTTGGACTGTTGTGATGAAAGAAATTCTCGTTCAGACTTACAGCATCAAAATTTTAACCAAATAAAATATTTTTTTATTGAAAGACAGTACACTACTTAAAACAAAGTATTAAGTAAAAGACATTATAACCTATTTAGCTTGTAATTTGCTTTTAAGCTTTTAGATCTGAATAATAGTGCAAAAGTGTTTCTGTAATGCGTAATATTTGATGGGCGATATGAAGTGTGTTATTTGTTGTATGTGTTGTGCATTGTGTGTGTTGCATTTCAAATACTTTGCTTGCATCTTGAAGTCCTTTTGCCTGTCTTAACTTTTCTTAACATGACACCAGACTGCATTGACTTACATTATTATTATAATCAAAACTAAGCGCTAAAGCACTAACTTACAAAATATACCTTTACAAACTTAGTAACTAAGTGAAGAAGCTTGACTGTGAATGAGGTTGACCTATTGTAAAAGAGGTACAGTATTGTTATTGTGAATGTGATAGTCCTGTTGCAAAAGATGAACAGTATTCCTATTCTAGTGGAAACATTTTGTATACAAGGAGGGTTGTTTGAATTGTGATGTCTGTGTATTTCTGGAAAGACACCTAGATCATGGACGGACTGTAAATTTGCTTCCTTATTGGGCCCCACAGCCTTAGTGGAAAACAGGCAGTGTGTTATGGACCGAGTTACCTGGTGGTTTGTGTTTGATGTCTTAGGAGAGAACCATCTAGTAGTCTAGTGGAGCCTGATATATATCACTGTTCTAGATTATTATAATCAAAACCAAGTACTAAACCCACAGTTCTAGAAACTAGATATATAATCTTTCTACTTATATTTATTGAGATGAATCTAGTAAAGTTGTATGTACCTTTATAAGTTGGTAGGATGTACTCAAAATTAGCTAATAAAGTTACATATGGTAATAGTTACATTTGGATGACAATACACAAGACTTAAGTTATTTTTATCATTCTGATGCATCTGCACGATTAACCCAGCGCTAGTGTTTAGATGTCACAGGAGCACCTCTGCTTTGTACTAACGTGTGATGGTGTACTTTACTAACCTTATACTAACTCCTGCTTGGCTCTAGTGTACTACCGGACGATACTGGACGACCCCCGGGACCTTAGGGCCATGGAGACACAGGTTCCGCAAGCCACCCTGTTGCCGCATCCGCAAGTGGCCGCCCGCACTCGTTTCCCTGAGACCTGGGTCTTCACCTCCACTGACTCAGGGTATGCCTTTGCTGCAGCACCCCTCTACTAGGTCTCTTGCACTCTTGTAGCACCTCTAGACAACTCTGGAACTTATGAGCAATTCTACTTCATCACCTTTGGCACAATGGCACCCATATTGAACCTCATATACTTACAATGGACTTCAGCACTGCTTCTGAATGTCTTTCATTACTTTACATTATGTATCTTTCTGTGTAACCTCTTGGGGATTCTTAATTCTTATTTTAAAAGTGGCAGCACTGTAAGTATCTTTTATACCAGCAAAATGGTAAGTATGTTTCTGTTATTACTGAATATCTTTTGGATTAGCAAAATGGTAAGTGTCTTTTAGACTGACAACTAAATGTACATGTATCCTTTTGACTAGTAATACTGCAGGTATCCTCTGAACTAGCAGTACTAAATAACTTTTGGCTAATCATACTTTAAAGTATCTTTTAGTGCTTGTCACTGGGATTTTTAGTATGACTCTCATTAAAATAGGAGCTTATATTGACTCAGACTCATACTGTAGCTTCATTTGGGTAGTAGAAACTATTTTGTTCATGTCTTCATCACTGCAAAACCTGTGTTCACTCTCTTGAGCTCCAGTGCATTATTTCTTTAAAGGATTTTTTGGGGACCAATTTGACATGAGCACTGCATAACTTCTCTTGAAGTATTACAGTAGTACTCAGTTTGTTCTTGGCAACTCTTTCCTATCAGTGGAACCCTATTGCACTCTAGATAGTTATGAAAGGCACATTCATAATTTGTTGCATATGCATGGGGGATCACTTGTATAGAATCCCAGTTGTTGGGCACCTTTTGAGATGTAAGTGCGGTGGAACAGCAAGTTTAACCAAGAGATCATGAGTAGATGTTGAATCATTCTTTGCACTTCTTTCATCACCTCACTGATGAATGAGGAGGAATTACATGCATTCTTGTGAGCTCTACAATTGACACAAGGCTATCTAATCACTATTTTTTTTGTTAGATGAAAATTAAGACATTTGGAAAACTGTGAACTTAATCTTCGGGAAAAATAATTTAGCAAACAAGAGAAGGCATACAACTTCTAAAGTAACAAAATTAAAAAATAAACATTAAAGTTCCCCCACTAAAGTAAGTGCTCGTTAATGTCCCGGAATGTTTCACTTAAAAAAATAAAAATGAAAAACAAAATGACATTATGTTAAGACCAACTCTTGTTGGTCATTCAGTGCAATGGAGCAGCGGAGGCTTGACCCTTGGTAAATCTCAAGTCAGACAAACCTATCTATACCCATCAAGTTGTAAATATAATACAGTGGACCCCCGATTAACGACATTTTTTCACTCCAGAAGTATGTTCAGGTGCCAGTACTGACCGAATTTGTTCCCATAAGGAATATTGTGAAGTAGATTAGTCCATTTCAGACCCCCAAACATACACGTACAAATGCACTTACATAAATACACTTACATAATTGGTCGCATTCGGAGGTGATCGTTATGCGGGGGTCCACTGTAGTCTCATTTAATGACAGTGATCTGTGTTTGGGAATATATTCTCTTTCTGACACATAAAAATGAACTAGGTGAATATGACTAGAAATACAACTAGCTAGTGCAGCAGTACAGTACAGTAACACTAAATCACTGTTGGTGCACTGGACACTATGAAGAGCTTTGGTATTTTTTTTTTTTTTCAACATATCAGCCATCTCCCAGTGAGGTAGGGTGACCCATAAAAGAGGAAAACTATAAAGTAGCTTTGGCATGATGATGACTAAATGTAGCAAATATAAATTATATTATCGCCTCCTGTAGTGCATTGTCACTCTAAAGAATTTTGTGCCATAACTACCAGACACATGACGTCTTGAAGTGATATTTGTAATAGTGCTGTAGTAGAGGTGCTACTATGTAGGGATATCTACTACAAGTGTAGTGGTAGCAGATGTATAACCAAGAGGTACTTGTGTCATGTGGGCATGTATTTTGACTGACTGACGACACCAGGCGAGGTGCTTTACATTGACGTTAACACACTTGGTAAACACTGCTGGACCCACTGCCTTCTGCTACTGGATGAACTGATAACCATTGCTGGACCCACTGACTACTACCTTTGGATGTACTGATAACCACTACTGGACCACTGCTATACATTCTGACCACTACTGCTGGATGTACTGATCATCACTGATAACCAGTGCTGAACACCAGAGAGGGTGAGGCAGGTGCTGGGCTTTAGCACATACTAAGCCATTCATTACTAGGAATAAGCTTATATCTACTGCCCTTCCTGAAACAACTGCAATACACCTCACACTCACCAATGTGTTAATATCTAGGTGTGAGTTGCAGTATTAGTCTCATCACTGATTACATCAACACAATGTACAAGCAGGTGTCAAAACTGCCACTGCACATGCAGTCTCATGGATATGACAATTATTTTACGTTAAGAAGTGAGAGAGACTTGATCATTTTGTTAGACTTGGCTTTTGCTTGTCTTGCAGCTCCTGGTTACCCACACCACTAACCTGGCCTGGGACTAACACACCACCTGGTGCCTACACCTGTGGCTTCTTATGGCAGGAATGTGAGTGTGCATGTAGGTGTGTGTGTGTATGTATGCATATGTGGAGAGAGAGAGAATGAGAACATGAAGCAAGCAGCATCAGTAAGGAGAGTGCCCCCCACAGTGGCCAACATGCTGCCCTCTGGTGAGGGCCCTGTGGACGGATCATCTTGGGACCCCCACCACCGGCCGGCCGCCTTCAACGGTTCCTTTGGGCGACAGTTTGCACCAGTTGATGCATCAACGCTGCGACCAGACCTGGGTCCCGGACTGGCATACAACGCACCCACCAGACCACCACTGGCAGGACCCTATGCCTTCTCTTACCTCCCTCCGCCCCCTGACAGCCGCCCACGTCTCTACCTCAACCAAGCCGTCCCACCCACATGGCTCTTCCGTGATGCACAAACCAAGTGTGTATCAGCACTCTCTTTCAGCTTTCCTTCATCTCATCCCATCAACATGCCTTCATCACCTTCCTCCATCAATATGCCTCAGTCACCCTTCCTCTCCTTGCTTCCCAACCATCTCCCATTGCTCATCATCTTCAATACAAAAAAAATTTATTATCGAAATATAGATACTGTAATTGTTACAAAATTATGCAGCATTTATTGAATACATTTTGAAAAATCCCTGGTCAAGCAGAGAATTTAAGGCAGACTAAAACAAACATAAAACTGGAATCTTCTGATAAAATTGTGCATTTCTGGGTCTTTTACTTGCATGGCTTTTCTACTCAGGTTATTAAACACATTAGATATCAGAGAGAGATTTGTTTCTAAGCATCCTGGCAGCTATCCAAAAAAAGTTTTAGTACTGGGTTTATATTTGCATTCAATGTAGTGTGCATACAGTACAGTATGCACAGTAATAAGTGTGGAAGGTTTGGTTGTTGAGTAAATTTAGATTTTCAAATAGACAGCATATGGTGTGTTATGGTTGGTATTGATGTGTCTACAACCTGATTGAGTGATCATTCTAATAGCAAAAGTTTGTTTGGTTATGATTGGTTTTTGGTGATTTGCCATTGTAAAATCTCATGCACATATACCATAAGTGAGGTAAGGTTATATAGGAGTGATGTTTGAGGTACAATACATAGTATTGTATTTTTTGAAGTTTTGGAATTTTCATAGATATGTATTGAATGTGAGCAGTTTTAGTATGATGTCAAGGTGAATACCTAAAAAAATTTTCAGTCATCTTTATACATATTCAGATACATATTTTAGCTTTATTTCCAAACACTATGCAGTTATCTAAACAGATATCTTGACAAGGTGATCATTAACAATGTTGTTGAGGACTGTTGTGGCTCTGGACTCGAGATGACAGAGGTCGTGATGGAAATAAAGACACTAGTAATGAAGACTTCTTTTAATACATTTCACTCAAAGCTAAACTTTATCAGGAACACCACTTTATAAAGCAAATAAGTACCCAGAGGTCAGCCTCGGAGAAAGGGCTTGTGAGGTCATGAAAATTCACGACGTAGTGTAGATAAGGTCAAGTATTGGTGAGAATAAATAACAAAAAAAGGCACAATACCGTGACTGGAATGATACACAAATAACCCGCACATAAAAGAGAGAAGTACTTACGACGACGTTTCTGTCCGACTTGGACCATTTACAAAGTGACTTTGTAAATGGTCAAAGTCAGACCAAAACGTCGTCGTAAGCTTCTCTCTTTTGTGTGTGGGTTATTTGTGTATTGGTGAGAATAGGGGTGGGTCTAAGCTGACAGGTTTATTGTATTAATCACAGTGTGGGCAACAGATGCAACTAACATGTGCACTTCACTATATTGTTCATGGTATTAGTGAGGTGGATCACTGCTGCTACCAAAATTTTGCTTCTAGCCCTGTTGTTCTCCTGGTGCAACAGTTATGCTCTTCCACACTCCACTGAAGGCTGTGATGGAATACACATGCATTGTTGGTCTTATTTCTCTGCAGGCACATTTACATTCCTGAAGGTATATTTGAAGGTTTGGGCATAGGGTGTTCTGTGGCTTGGTTGGCAACACACTCAGCTCACACACAATGAGTGTCCATGGTTTGATACCTGGCATGAGTGGAAACTGGCATGTTTCCTTATATCTGCTGCCCCTGTCCACCTAGCAGTAAGTAGGTTCCTAGGTTTTAGTTGACCATTGTGGGTTGCATCCTGGGGTGGGGGGTTAGTATACCTTAGATGAGGCTGGGCTTTATAATGTGTTGAGGTAGGATAACAGCTCTTAGCCTGTGAAATAGATGTGAAAAAAATTTTGACATCCACTGTACTATCTGCTGTATACTCCAATGGAAGCAGTTCTGACTCTAGGGCTGCTACATCTGTGCTGTCTTTACGGAGGTACAGTATGTCATCAAGTGGGTATGATAAACTCTGGTTAGCTACTGGATCTTGTAACTGTGTGTAGTTATTTTGTGATACTGGTTCATGCTCTAAATAGTAACACCTTCAGTTATCATCTGAAGGACCTAAGTTTGATCCCAGCACAAGTGAAAACATTACATGTAGACATGTTTCCTGACACCTTTTACCTCTGTTCACCTAACATTAAGCAGATACCATACTTGCCTATTTTACATTACATGTAATACAGTAATTACTTTAAAAAGAGTACAAGCCAGCAGACTGATGGGTTTGAATCTGGATTAAAAGTGATCAGGTTTTAAGTCAAGTGAACCTACAAAATCATATCTCCTAGCAGTGCTATTACATAAATATAATCCTCCAATATAATACTGTATACCCTACCTATCATCATTCTGAATTTCTCACTGCATAATACAAAAGTGCTGCTGTCTTTGATAAATATCTACCCTATTAAAATTAATCACATCAACACTAAATTATCTTTTAACTATGTTTTTGTTAACTGTACCTAAGGTCAGTGTTGCTCAGTGAGTTTGTGAATTTGTTAATGTTACCTTGTGAAGGTGTACTAAGTATCATGTGTGACAGGTTCAACGGTGTGGTGACCCTCCGGGAGAAGGCACCAGATGCCATCACTTCCTACATTGTCTCAGCCTTTGCTGTCGATGACTTCTATGGTCTGGGTGTCACCAAGCAACCCTCCAAGGTCAGTGTTCCCAACAGATCAGCTGTTACTTGTACTAGGTAATTTATACCCCAGTTGTCCTTCCCTCTCCACATTGGGCACTGACTCTATCCTCTACTCTCTTCCTGTTACAGCTTCAGGTGTTTAGGCCATTCTTCACATCGGTCCACTTGCCTGAGGCTGGGGTGGTGCGAGGAGAAGCGGTGGCAGTAGAGATGGTCGTTTTCAACTATGGGGATGAGGACCTCACTGCAGATGTCACCCTTGACAATGCCAGTGGTGACTTCCTCTTTGCTGACTTTGCCAATGAAATTGACCAAGGCTGTGAGTATCTCTTCTGTTATCTATATCTACGTATACTTAGTTACTGTAAATAACAGCACATAATTTTATTCATAATTAATATTTACCATGTAGTGCTTAAAATAACATAGGATTACATGGGAGGGGATCACTTGGGTGAGGGTAATTACAAGTGTTTCACCCTCTTCACTCCACAGCACCTTCAGGTCGCAAGCAGAGGCAGGTGAGAGTGGTGGCTGGCAGCGGTGTTCCTGTGAGCTTCATGGTGGTGCCTCAGACACTTGGTACCATCGACATCACTGTCACAGCCACGGCAGGGCCCAACGTTGACGTTGTCACAAAGAAGTTACTTGTCAAGGTGTGTATCTAGCTTTTTTCTTCTGTCTTCCTCCTCTCTGCTCTTTTTTCTCTTCCTTTAATTTATTTCATGTTACTTCATTAATCTTGTGTACAATTGCATTTACAGTGAATAGGGATGAATCCATGTCAATCATCATGCATATATTGTCATTCATCTCACATCTTCCTCTTATCTCTTTCTCATTTTCCTGTTCCCATGTCCCTGGTCATTATATCACCGCTCCTGTGCTCCTTATTAAACCATTACTCCCATATCCCGACCACTACACTTCTACTTGTGTCCCTGGTTACTGTACCACTTCTGCCTGTGTCCCTGGTTACTATACCACTGCTACCATGTCTTTGGTTACTATACCACTGCTACCATGTCCCTGGTTACTATACCACTGTTCCCATGTCCCTGGTTACTGTATCACTAATGGCATGTCATTGGTCATTAATGGTGGATGTGCTCCTGCACACAGCCTGAGGGGACGAGGATGACTGTGAACAAGGCTGTGCTGCTGGACCTGCGTGCTCAGCCCACCTTCACCACCACCCTCAACATTACTACACCTCCCAACATCATCAATGGCTCCCGCTCTGTCGCAGTCTCTGTCATTGGTATGTCCTCTTGTCCTTGCTTGAGGTCTTTTCCTTCCCCTACCCCCATCTCTGGTCCATCCCTGGTCCTCCAGATCTGCCTAGATGCCTGTGGATACTGTCCCATTTGAGGAACATTATGTACAGTTCAGGACATTTACTAGAGGATACGTTTTGCCATGAATGGCCACTTGTGTCAGTATTACCATACCCCCATTTTCCATTATCAAAACTATAATGTTAAGATTGTTTTTCTTACTTGGCCCACAGTTTAATAACTGTCCAGTGTGGACTGATCATCAGAGAAGTGAAACTCTCGAAACTCTTCAAAGGTATATCAAAGATATGCAGTTTTCATTTCCAGTTTTGCAGGATTTGACATATTGCAACAGTTCTTTGCATATTAGTGTTGCTTTGTGTTGCAGGGGATGTGTTAGGCCCAGCAGTAAGTGACCTACATAACCTGCTGGAGTTGCCCACCGGTTGTGGGGAGCAGAACATGGCTAAGCTCGTCCCTAACATTGTTCTCATGGAGTACCTCAAGGTGAGTTACATAGCCTTTCTGTTATTTTTATTGTTTTCATGGGAAAGAGCTAAATATGTAAAGGTTATAGAGAACCTTGGGAATGGGAGGCAGACAGATTTGATACCAGAGGAAAGGAGGGATAACTCAAATTTTCTGGAATAAGTCCTTCACTGGCATCAAAGAGTCTTCCCTGGTGGGTATTTCTCTGTTGTCGATTATCAGGACTTGCCAGTCATTTTTTCCACACATTATTTTGTGGCCAGATGTAATTTTCCTTTCAGTTGATAAATATTTTCTATCATGTTCATCAGTTTTTAAATTTCAGGAACATTAATGTATATGCATTTTATATAGATAGTGTCATGTTTAATTTTGACAGTAATGTAGCTTACTTTATCAAAAATACAGTTTGGTGTACAAAATATGTACAGCAATAAACAGCTTGGTTGATCAAGCCCTGATCCACTGCTAGACCTGGTCATCTACCAGGCCATGGGGGCATTGACCCCTAGAACACCCTCCAGGTATATTCCAGATATTCATCAGAGAGGATTTATGCTCTCCACACCTGTTTCTTCATTCTCATTTATCTTTAATTAAATTTCTGGCTATTACTTTCCACTCAGTGTATGAATCTTGTAAGTTTCCACTTAAAACTTTCAGTCAAACCAGCTTTGTATGAATACTAGAGTAGGTTAAAAAGTATTGTCTTCACCTTCTTAGAACAAGAATCAGTTGAGTGAGGCGCTACAAGGTCGGGCCAGACGCCACCTGGAGACAGGCTACCAGCAGCAGCTCAACTACAGACGTGATGATGGCTCTTTCAGCGCCTTTGGTAGTAGGGATGCCTCTGGAAGCACCTGGTGAGTTGTTCAGCTACAGCTATGTGATCTGGCTACACTGATCTATGATGGTTATGATACTGTACAAAACAATTTAGATGTACTGTAATGACAATTTTATAGGTATTTTTGAAGAGACATGATAGATTTTCACGAAATGCAGATCGTTGAGAAATTGCTGCCCTTACCTGCAGGTTGACAGCCTTTGTGATCAAGTCTCTGGTGGAGGCAGGACGGCACATTGATGTAGAGGAGAAAGTGGTGAAAGCAGCCATGGAGTGGATAATAAAGCTGCAAGCAGCAGATGGCTCCTTTCCTGAGGTGGGCACCATTAACAATGAGGCCATGCAGGGTGGAGCTACCAAAGGCATCCCTCTTACTGCATATGTCATCATCTCCCTCCTCACAGCCCAGGTAAAGTTAAACCAGGTTCACTTTCCATATAACTCCTAAATCCACACAATAATTTGACTTGGCTCCCTGCCTCTAATTGTATGATTTTTCCAGCTATACCCCCTCTCCCTATCTCCCCTTCAAATCTCCCAGGTAAATTATGCCTTTACACACAACCTTTCCCTTTCCCTTCACTGTTGGCAGATTAAAGATATAAAGTATGTATTAAACTTGGCTGATAGAATATTTTGATGTGATGTACATATACTGACTACGTACCTGCCACAGCGACCTCCCACGGCCAAGGTGCGTAATGTGATCAACCGAGCTGTGGATTTCTTGGCTACTAGTCTAGATGATATTGAAGACTTCTACAGCCTGGCTATCACTAACTATGCATTGCACTTGGCAGACAGCCCACTCAGGGATGCTGCTTTCTACAAGCTGGAAGGGAAAGCCAAGGTTCAAGGTTAGTTGTCCCTGCAACTTTGCACGAGTTTCAGACATGAATAAGCTAAGACTAAAAATGTGTAACTAGACCTCTGACCTTGCTTAAGATATCTTCAGTGATAGTTGTCTTGCCCAAGGCAAGGTCCTGGCTGATTGGTTAATATTTGTGTTAGCAAAGTCAGACTCTTCCATCTTAAATTATCAGTAAATTTTGTTTACATTTTTTGTTAAATAATTACTAAAGTAATAAGAATAAAATAATTTAATTTAAGGACTAATGAATATAACAAGCATTTCATATCACAAAATGAGATTTTAAATTTTTGACATTTAAATTTAATTTTAATTCTCAGCAGCAATGGATTATAAATATGTAATGAAGATACGAAAGTACATATGTAAATGTTTGCCACTGTCCCCATACAACAGTGAAAATATACACTAAATCAGAGTCCCAGAGTTGCAATTTCTTTGTACCTGTTTCCAAATCTTACGATTACATAACCTATCTGCATCCTTCATTAAAATTTTCTTAATTTTTTATTTTTATTTTTTTTTTTTTAACAAGTCAGCTGTCTCCCACCGAGGCAGGATGACCCAAAAAGAAAGAAAATCCCCAAAAAGACAATACTTTCATCATCATTCAACACTTTCACCTCACTTACATAAAATCACTGTTTTTGCAGAGGTGCTCAGAATACAACAGTTTAGAAGCATATACGTATAAAGATACACAACATATCCCTCCAAAACTGCCAATATCCCAAACCCCTCCTTTAAAGTGCAGGCATTGTACTTCCCATTTCCAGGACTCGAGTTCAGCTGTATAAAAATAACCAGTTTCCCTGAATCCCTTCACTAAATATTACCCTGCTCACACTCCAACAGCTCGTCAGGTCCCAAATACCATTCGTCTCCATTCACTCCTATCTAACACGCTCGCGCAATATGTGGTTTACAAATTATAAAATATCAAGTACAGTGGAACCTCAAATATCGAACTTTCTTCGGTCCAGAAGTCTGTTCGAGTGCCTTTACCGAATGAATTTATTCCCATCAGGAATAATGTAAATTAGATTAGTCCATTTCAGACCCTTAAAATACACTTTTAAAAGCACTTACAAAAATACACTTACATAATTGGTTGTGTTGGAAGTAGTTCAATTTTTGAGGTTCCACTGTACAAAGAAGGCCTCTATCACACCTAGCATGACTAGGCATTTTGGGCAGACTACTAATAATTCTTACTTTATATTGCTACAGGTTATGGAACATATTGATATTAAAGCTAGGAAACTGTATTACAGTAACTGTATTATAGTTTGTGGTTGTTTTGCATGAAAAACACACAGTGTAAGTGTGTCTTCAGTTATGCATAGGGATTTGCATAACTGAGGACCCTGATAAGATGACAATGGGCAACTAAAATTATATCCTTAAAAATGAAAAGAATTGGTTGGTAATATTTATGTACAAATTATAAGTAACACTGTAATATGAAAGATGTATGAACCCTAAAATTGATAATTGAAAAAATGATGAGTGCTTCATTGAGGCATCTGTGGAGATGAACATTATCATGGAGAAGTAAAGAATGAGTACAGTGGTACCTCAAGTTTCGAACAGCTCCCAACTCGAACAACTATGTAAGTGTATTTTTGCAAGTGCTTTTGTAAGTGTATTTTTGGGGGCCAAATGGACTAATCTTATTTACATCATTCCTTATGGGAACAAATTCGTTGGGTAACAGCGCTCGAACAGCCTTCTGGAATGAATTAAGTTCGTATCTTGAGGTACCACTGTATAGTGAAGTATGGATTGTGGGTGTTGCAGCAAGGAAGAGGCTGGAGGCAGTGGAGATACCTGAGGGTATCGTGAAGTGTAACTATTTTTCAGAGAATTCATAGATAGTAGATTAGGAGGAGGTGCAGGGGTTACTAGAAAAATTATTCAGAGGACTAAGGAAAGTTTTTATGAGGTGGTATGGACCAAGATAGGATGACTTGGATGTACAAATCTGTAGTAGCGAGATGGTGAAGTAGGAGTACCCCTAGGAATGGTTGGAGGGGGAGTTAAAAGAGGTTTTATGTGCAAGAGTCCTGTACATCCAGCAAGCATGTGTGAATATGTTAGGAGTGTGAGCAGAGTAACATTTTGTGAAGAGATTCACCCTTCTGGCAATACAGTGATGAAGTGAATGATGGTGAAAGTTTTTCTTTTTCGGGCCACCCTGCCTTGGTGGGAATCGGCCAGTGTGTTAATAAAAAAAAATAATAATAAATTCAGGGAAACTGGTTAGCTGGACTTGAGTCTTGGAGGTGAGAAATATAGTGCCTGCACTCTGAAGGGGTAGGGAATATTTGAAGCAGTGATAGAGTGAATGATGGTGAAAATATTTCCTCTTTTTTTTTTTTTTTTGGTTTGCCCTACCTTATTGGGGAGACAGCTAGCGTGTGTGTTTTTTTATTTTTTGTAAAGTGCTAATATGATAATGTGTGTGGTACAGACAAGGAGAAGTGGTGGGAAGCTGGAGGCCTAAAACTGACCCGAGAAACCACAGTGGAGTCACGACCTCTGGATGTGGAAGCCACCAGTTATGCCCTTCTCACCTACATCCTTCGGGGCCTTACTCGTGATGCTCTTCCCATCATGAGTTGGCTTGTTAGACAACGCAATCAGTATGGTGGTTTTCAGTCTACACAGGTAACACCAGCCTATACAGGTTATAGCAATTGTGGAAGATGTTTTGAAATGAGTTATGTATATACAATGTCTTCAGTAAGTAAATTTTTTTTTTTTTGCAGAGCATATAATACTGAAATGTTAATAGCAAGTCACTCTTGCAGGACACAGTGGTAGGGATGGCAGCTTTGGCAGCATTGGCAGGCAAACTGTCCACAACAGAGCCACAGGTCAATATTCGTCTCATCTACGGTGCTCGAGGCAAGAACCTGCAGGTCACCAGATCCAACACTATGTTGCTGCAGCGCGTGGAGGTTAGTCTAGAGACAGATTTAGCAAGACTGACATATAATCCTCTTTGTTCCTCAGTTTTTCATACATCAAAAATGTGATACACACATTGAGTTTTAAGACATTTATTGAGGATACATTTTGCCCACCAGTGGTTTTTCAATCCAGTAGAGAGAAGAGACTTAGTTATAGTGACAGAGGTCAGGTGTGATGTGCAGCCAGGTATGTGGTGACTAACTGATGGCTGTATTCTGCTTGGGTAAAATACATTGTTCAAGTATTTTGGATATGATTAAACTCCCTGTACTTTGAGGTATGGTGTTGCTGTTATCCACTGCAATACTTGTGTACATCTCATGGACTTCAAGAATGCCAAACTGGTCATCAGGGAATTCAGTCTTTACAACAGATGATTAGATTTATCATAGGTAGTAGGTTGGTAGACAACAACCGCCCAGGGAGGTACTACCGTCCTGCCAAGTGAGTGTAAAACGAAAGCCTGTAATTGTTTTACATGATGGTAGGATTGCTGGTGTCCTTTTTTCTGTCTCATGATTTTTTTATTATTATTATTATTATTATTATCACACTGGCCGATTCCCACCAAGGCAGGGTGGCCCGAAAAAGAAAAACTTTCACCATCATTCACTCCATCACTGTCTTGCCAGAAGGGTGCTTTACACTACAGTTTTTAAACTGCAACTTTAACACCCCTCCTTCAGAGTGCAGGCACTGTACTTCCCATCTCCAGGACTCAAGTCCGGCCTGCCGGTTTCCCTGAACCCCTTCATAAATGTTACTTTGCTCACACTCCAACAGCACGTCAAGTATTAAAAACCACTTGTGTCTCCATTCACTCCTATCAAACACACTCATGCATGCCTGCTGGAAGTCCAAGCCCCTCGCATACAAAACCTCCTTTACCCCTTCCCTCCAACCTTTCATAGGCCGACCCCTACCCCGCCTTCCTTCCACTACAGATTGATACACTCTTGAAGTCACTCTGTTTCGCTCCATTCTCTCTACATGTCCAAACCACCTCAACAACCCTTCCTCAGCCCTCTGGACAACAGTTTTGGTAATCCCGCACCTCCTCCTATCTTCCAAACTACGAATTCTCTGCATTATATTCACACCACACATTGCCCTCAGACATGACATCTCCACTGCCTCCAGCCTTCTCCTCACTGCAACATTCATCACGCATGCTTCATACCCATATAAGAGCATTGGTAAAACTATACTCTCATCAATTCCCCTCTTTGCCTCCAAGGACAAAGTTCTTTGTCTCCACAGACTCCTAAGTGCACCACTCACCCTTTTCCCCTCATCAATTCAATGATTCACCTCATCTTTCATAGACCCATCCACTGACACATCCACTCCCAAATATCTGAATACATTCACCTCCTCCATACTCTCTCCCTCCAATCTGATATCCAATCTTTCACCTAATCTTTTTGTTATCCTCATAACCTTACTCTTTCCTGTATTCACTTTTAATTTTCTTCTTTTACACACCCTACCAAATTCATCCACCAATCTCTGCAACTTCTCTTCAGAATCTCCCAAGAGCACAGTGTCATCAGCAAAGAGCAACTGTGACAACTCCCACTTTGTGTGATTCTTTATCTTTTAACTCCACGCCTCTTGCCAAGACCCTCACATTTACTTCTCTTACAACCCCATCTATAAATATATTAAACAACCACGGTGACATCACACATCCTTGTCTAAGGCCTACTTTTACTGAGAAATAATTTCCCTCTTTCCTACATACTCTAACTTGAGCCTCACTATCCTCGTAAAAACTCTTCACTGCTTTCAGTAACCTACCTCCTACACCATACACCTGCAACATCTGCCACATTGCCCCCCTATCCACCCTGTCATATGCCTTTTCCAAATCCATAAATGCCACAAAGACCTCTTTAGCCTTATCTAAATACTGTTCACTTATGTTTCACTGTAAACACCTGGTCCACACACCCCTTACCTTTCCTAAAGCCTCCTTGTTCATCTGCTATCCTATTCTCTGTCTTACTCTTAATTCTTTCAATAATAACTTCACCATACACTTTACCAGGTATACTCAACAGACTTATCCCCCTATAATTTTTGCACTCTCTTTTGTCCCCTTTGCCTTTATACAAAGGAACTATGCATGCTCTCTGCCAATCCCTAGGTACCTTACCCTCTTCCATACACTTATTAAATAATTGCACCAACCACTCCAAAACTATATCCCATCAATCCCGGCTGACTTACTCCCTTTCATTTTACCTACTGCCTCACGAACTTCCCCCACACACAACTGGCACTTCCTCACTCCTACAAGATGTTATTCCTCCTTGCCCTATACACAAAATCACAGCTTCCCTATCTTCATCAACATTTAACAATTCCTCAAAATATTCCCTCCATCTTTCCAATACCTCTAACTCTCCATTTAATAACTCTCCTCTCCTATTTTTAACTGACAAATCCATTTGTTCTCTAGGCTTCCTTAACTTGTTAATCTCACTCCAAAACTTTTTCTTACTTTCAACAAAATTTGTTGATAACATCTCACCCACTCTCTCATTTGCTCTCTTTTTACATTGCTTCACCACTCTCTTAACCTCTCTCTTTTTCTCCATATACTCTTCCCTCCTTGCATCACTTCTACTTTGTAAAAACTTCTCATATGCTAACTTTTTCTCCCTTACTACTCTCTTTACATCATCATTCCACCAATCGCTCCTCTTCCCTCCCGCACCCACTTTCCTGTAACCACAAACTTCTGCTGAACACTCTAACACTACATTTTTAAACCTACCCCATACCTCTTCGACCCCATTGCCTATGCTCTCATTAGCCCATCTATCCTCCGATAGCTGTTTATATCTTACCCTAACTGCCTCCTCTTTTAGTTCATAAACCTTCACCTCTCTCTTCCCTGATGCTTCTATTCTTGTATCCCATCTACCTTTTACTCTCAGTGTAGCTACAGCTAGAAAGTGATCTGATATATCTGTGGCCCCTCTATAAACATGTACATCCTGAAGTCTATTCAACAGTCTTTTATCTACCAATACATAATCCAACAAACTACTGTCATTTCGCCCTACATCATATCTTGTATACTTATTTATCCTCTTTTACTTAAAATATGTATTACCTATAACTAAACCCCTTTCTATACAAAGTTCAATCAAAGGGCTCCCATTATCATTTACACCTGGCACCCCAAACTTACCTACCACACCCTCTCTAATGAACATGCAAGATTTCAGGTATGTCTTGCTACTTCTACTTACACCTAGGTCACACTACACATACATGTACAAGCACATATATACACACCCCTCTGGGTTTCCTTCTATTTTCTTTCTAGTTCTTATTCTTGTTTATTTCCTCTTATCTCCATGAGGAAGTGGAACATAATTCTTCCTCCGTAAGCCATGCGTGTTGTAAGAGGCGACTAAAATGCCGGGAGCAAGGGGCTAGTAACCTCTTCTCCTGTATATACATGTATTACTAAATGTAAAAGGAGAAACTTTCGTTTTTCCTTTTGGGCCACCCCGCCTCGGTGTGTTGAAAGAAAGAAAGATTAGATTTATATCTAATCACTACTTGTAACACCTACCTCAGAACACATGGGGGTTTCAATTTATCCAAAATATCAGTGGAATGATGTTTTTATGTTTACCCTATATTCCAGTTATTTAGTGGACAGTCATTGTATCATATTCATCAGTAAAAAAAATATGGAGTTTTAATATCCTGCCCATCTGTTTGTCAATTTTTGGTAATTCATAAATCTGTGCTAATATTAATAAGATAACAATATTGTGACAGCTGTGTAGTGTGGTAATTAATTTTATTGCAGCTACCTGATGACACTGACAAGGTGGAGGTGTCAGCATCTGGAACAGGTGTGGCAGTGCTTCAGGTGACTTACCATTACAATGTAAGAGTCACAGGACCCAAACCTGCCTTTTCTCTCGACCCCCAACTGGATGTTACTACTGATGCCAACCGCCTCAGATTAACCACTTGTACTGGGTCAGTTCCTCTTTAAACTTTATTCACACACTGGCTTAGAACTTGACTCACTTTATTTCTGGCAATCTGACTCAAATGTGATCCACAATACATGCAAAAAAATAATATCAGCATACAAGATATGAAAGCTGTTTCCATTGATCAAAATAGTAAGAATGAGGTACAGTAGACAATTTTTTTTTTTTTTAATATTCTGGTCATCTCACATAGAAGATAACACTTACCCATTCAATCACTGTCTTGCCAGAAGGGTACCAGCATCACAATTCAGATCAGCCTCTAGATTACATCTTCACTCCACTTTTAGCGTGCAGGCACTGTACAAAAGGAAATAATGTAAGGCCAAATTAAGGATATGGTTTATGGAATACAGCTGACTCTGAATTGTTTCAGATTAAATTGTGCTGATAGTTTCATAAATATGACAGTAAATAAGTCATGACAGCATTAAGTTCATAATGAAAGTAAAAAATTCTTAAGGTAAATTGATCAGCATTTTGAATGGAAAAACTGTTGACTAGCACTTTTAATCTTATACAAATAAATAATGTAAGAACAAAGTGCTAATATTCTTAATTTACTTTAAGATACTGATCAAAGTAATTAACATTCTCATTAATGCTTTTATTCAGAAATAAGGAAGTTAAAAATAATTATCATGGATATACACTACACTATCTCAATTTTGTGCATTATCTATGTTACTGTTTGTCTGAATGTTCATCTAAAATCAGATATACTGTACACAAATTTGTAACAGTATATACAGTGGACCCCCGGTTAACGATATTTTTTCATTCCAGAAGTATTTTCAGGTGCCAGTACTGACCGAATTTGTTCCCATAAAGAATATTGTGAAGTAGATTAGTCCATTTCAGACCCCCAAACATACACGTACAAACGCACTTACATAAATACACTTACATAATTGGTCGCATTGGGAGGTGATTGTTAAGCGGGGGTCCACTGTATTATTATCATCATTTCTCTATATTTCCCAGTGTGTGTATGATAAGGAGTGTGTTTACCAGTAATTATGTACTTTTGTGTATATAATTTTACTTTAATTTTGTGATCATATTGTAAAATATATTTATAGATGGGGTTGTAAGAGAAGTGAATGCTCACGTGTTGGCAAGAGGTGTGAGATAAAAGATAATTAATCTAACACACAGTTGCTCTTTGCTGATGACACTGCTTTTGGGAGATTCTGAAGAGAAGCTGCAGAGGTTCGTGGATGAGTTTGATAGGGTGTGTAAAAGAAGTGAATTAAAAGTGAATATAGGAAAGAGTACAGTGATGGATAAAAAAAATTAGGTAATGAAAGACTGGATATCAGATTGGAGAGAGAGAGAGTATGGAGGAGGTGAATGTATTCATTTATTTAGGAGTGGATGTCTCAGCAGATGGATTTATGAAAGATGAGATGAATTGTAGAATTGACAAGGGGGAAAAGATGAGTCTGTGGAGGCAAAGAGGGGAATGTACGAGAGTATAGTCACACCAATGCTCTTATGTGGGTGTGAAGCATGGGTGCCGAATGTTGCAACAAGGAGGAGGCTGGATGCAGTGGAGATGTCATGTCTGAGGGCAATGTGTGGTGTGAATATAATGCAGAGAATTCGTAGGTTGGAAATTAGGAGGTGTGGGATTACCAAAATTATTATCCCAAGGACTGAGGAAGGGTTGTTGAGGTGGTTCAGACACGTAGAAAGGATGAAATGAAATAGAATGACTTAAAGTGCATAAATCTGTATTATTATTATAATCAAAAAGAAGCGCTAAGCCACAAAGGCTATACAGCGCTGCAGGGCAGGAAGGAAGCGAGGGCATCAGGTGGCAAAAGGGAGATGGATGAGTAATAGGTTACGGATAACAGCGGGGCAGTGGATGGTGAAAGGGTAAAGGGCAGCAAGAGACTGAACTAGAAAGGGCTGAGGGGAGTGCGAAAGGTATCATCATCAGAGTTTGTGGAGTAAATCAGTCGTTGTCAAGAAGTCAATGAGAGAGTCAGGATTAAAGGAGGGTCCATCAGCAAGAAGGGAAGGTAAAGAGAGAGTAGTAGAACGAAGACGACGGAGGTAAATTCTGCGTGCTCGTTGATAGAGAGGGCAGTCTAACAGAATGTGGCTAATCGATACTGGAACTTGACACTGCTCACAGAGAGGAACAGGATGCCTCTCCATGAGATACCCATGAGTAAGACGAGTGTGGCCAATGCGAAGGCGGGAGAGAGTGGTCTCCCAACCTCGGCACTGATGACAAGAAGACTGCCAGTAACCTATGCTCGGTTTAATAGAATGAAGTTTGTTACCGAGCAGAGTTGACCAATGTTGTTGCCAACGGGTGTGAAGATGGGTAGCTATTGCAGCAAAATAGTCCAGAAATGGAACACCTCTGTAGGAAATTGGTAGGTCATGTACTGCTGACCGCGCAGCAGTGTCTGCCTGTTCATTGCCCTGTACGTCAACATGACCAGGGACCCAACAAAAAACAATATCTTTATGCTTGGTAGAGATACGGCGTAGCCAAAGTTGGATACGGAGAACTAGGGGGTGAGATGCATCAAATTTTCGTACAGCCTGTAGAGCACTAAGGGAGTCTGAGACTACCACAAATGATGACACAGGCATACATGCGATACGAATAAGTGCTGCAAGAATGGCATACAATTCAGCAGTAAAAATGCTAGCCGAAGATAGTAAATGCCCTCGCACGACGCTGTCCGGAAACACTGCTGCGAATCCGACACCGTCTGAAGACTTAGGGCCATCTGTGTACACAGCGATGGCATGAGAATGAGAGTGGAAGTGATGAAGAAAAAGAGAGAGGGAAGCCACCGTAGGCAGTTGGGCTTTCGAGCAAGGGAGTGAGAAAGAACAGACCCGAACAGCTGGAACTTCCCAGGGGGGTAGGGAAAAGTGAGATGCTACGTGAACATATAAAGGTGGTAACTGAAGGGAAGATGAGCGAATGTAGGTGAAGAGAAAAGGGACGGAGCAAACAGGGGCGGCGAACAAATAAAGAATGTCTACTAATATCGGTGACCATTCTATAAATGGAAGGATCGTGAGAGCATACATAGTAGCGAAGGCAATGGGCATCACGGCGATCAGACAAGGATGGAACATTCGCTTCTGCATAGAGGCTCTCAACAGGGTAAGAGCGAAAAGCACCAAGGCATAAACGTAATCCTTGTTGATGGATGGGGTTAAGGCTAGAGAGAGTAGCAGGAGAGGCCGCTGAATAAATCTGGTCACCATAATCGAGTTTCGATAAAACGAGGGCTGAATGTAGGCGAAGCAGAGTTCGACGATCAGCTCCCCAGGAAAGATGAGCAAGGGTTTTAAGAAGGTTTAGCCGGCTGTGACAAGTTGCCTTCAGAGAGGTAATGGGAGGTTTCCAGGATAACCTACGGTCAAAGAGAAGGCCTAGAAACCTGACTGTATCACGTTCGGGGATACAAGATACAAAGGATGATCGGAGATGACAGAGCGTCTAGTGAAAGTAATTTGGTGAGTTTTGGTACTGGAAAATTTAAACCCATGCGTGGTGGCCCAAGTGGAAACACGGTCGACCGCGTGCTGGAGAGAAACTGCAATGAGATGAGTCAGTGCCTGCACAAGCAATAGCGAAGTCATCAACATAGAGTGATGACCAAATATTGGGTGGAAGAACAGAGGCCAAATCATTTATAGCAAGGAGAAAAAGTGTTGTGCTCAGAACACATCCCTGAGGGATATCTTCAGCTTGGATAAAGTCCGGGGAAAGCACATTATTGACTCTAACACGGAAGTGTCTGTCAGTTAAAAAGTTCTTAAGGAAGGATGGTAGATTGCCTCGGAGACCTAAGGAGTGGGCTTGGGCCAAAATATTATACCTCCAAGTTGTGTCATATGCCTTCTCAAGGTCAAAAAATATGGCAATAACCGAGTGATTATTTGCAAAGGCATTACGAACATACGTATCCAAGCATAGTAAGGGGTCTATGGTAGAACGGCCCTTACGAAAGCCATATTGACTAGCGGAGAGACTATTGTGCGTCTCTAAATACCACATTAAACGGCAATTTACCAGACGTTCCATCACTTTGCAAACTGCACTAGTAAGAGCGATGGGACGATAGTGGGAGGCATCATGTCTTGTAGTACCCGGCTTGCGGAAAGGGAGAACAATGGCAGATTTCCACAGCTGGGGAAGAACTCCTTGTGCCCAAATAAGATTGAAGAGGTGTAAGAGGATTACAAGGGCTGACTGATGTAAATGCTGTAACATACGAATATGAATGTCGTCAGGTCCAGCTGCCAATGATGGGCAAGCTGAGAGTGTTGCCTCCAGTTCCTGAAGTGTAAAAGGCACATTATACTGTTCTTCTCCGAGAGAAGAAAAGTCCAAGGGTACTAACTCTCTGGCCGACTTTGAGGAAAGAAACGAGGGGCATAGATGGAGCCCCCGGGAAATACGGACCAGATGAGTGCCAATTTCAATGGCAACGTCAAGAGGGTTTGCTACATCAATACCGGAAACCCGTAGAACAGGAGCCGGGTCAGGAGAGTATTTACCACTCAATTTCCTCACTTTTTTCCAGACTGCACTCATAGAGGAAGCAGAGGTGATGGTGGAAATATAGTCTCGCCAGCAAGTGCGTTTAGCATCACTGATGACACGGCGAGCGATCGCACGCTTCTGCTTAAAATCAAGAAGTCTCTCATTGGTTCTATTGTATCGGTACCTGCCCCATGCAGCGCGTTTCAAACGTACTGCACAAGCAGGAGACCACTAAGGCACGCACTTCTGAGAATGCTTGCCTGAGGTTTGGGGTATAGAATGAGAAGCTGCGGTATAAACTGACGTCGAGAAGAGGTGTAGGAGCTCACTAAAAGCAGTGAGCTGCGAGTAAAGGTCCCAATTTGCCCGATCAAATTGCCAGCGAGGGCTATGGAAAGGTGGTGAATATGAAGGAGAAGTAAGAATGATTGGAAAATGATCGCTGTCATGTAATTCCGGTAGAACAGACCAGGTGAAGTCTAGTGCAGTGGAGGAAGAGCAGACTGATAGATCGATGCAAGAGAGAGTATGAGTACGAGGATCAAAATGGGTGGGAGTACCCGTATTTAAAACATGGAGGGGGTGAGAGGCGAGAAAAGCCTCCAGCTGGATGCCACGTGAGTCACAATGAGACCCCCCCCAGAGGAAATAGTGGGCGTTAAAATCACCAAGTAACAGAAGTGGTGGTGGTGGTAAGGATGAAACAAGAAAGGCAAAGTCTGGGATAGAAAATGCTCGAGAAGGAGAGAGATATAAAGAACATATTGTAAACCACTTATTCAAGTGGATACGGGCTGTAGTGTAATGCAGCGAGGTATGGACAAATAGTTGACAGTACGGAATATCATTGCGTAGAAGAAGGGCACTTTCATTAAAGGTCCCATCTGAGAAAGGATCTGAAGAATACAATAAATTATAGCCTGAGATAGGTTGGAAAACAGCCGAGTGTAATTTTGGTTCTTGTAAGCAAGCACCAACAGGGGAAAACCTGGAAAGCAACATCTGAAGCTCACCCCAATTACCCCTGAGGCCGCGGATATTCCACTGTAAATAGGCCATGATTGGCGATGAAGAAAATACCAGGAATCTGTAGGGAAGGCACCTACGGACTAGAGGGGTTAGAAAAGTCAACGTGTGGTGGCATTGGAAGACGTTCAAGCAGCGAAGGAACGGAGCGTTGCAAAGAATGGGGTTGTGAAGATGGAGGAGAGGGAAGAGAAGGAACAGGAAGTGAATCAGTGTCCATTGAAGGTTTAGTCTCTGCAATATATTCTGAAATGGCTTCAAGTGTTTCTGAATTCAAAGATGTATGGGAGACCATATTGGAGGTAGAAGGGGGAGGGTGAGTAAAGATTGGGACAGTAATGGACTGTACCAAAGTAGGGGGACGAAAGAGGGTAAGGGACTGGAGATGAAGTGTGGGGGGACGGGAAGAGGCAGAAACCTGGGAGGGAGGGGGGTGGAAGGCATAGTACAGGAGGAGGGTGAATCTCCACATTTGTAATAGAGCCAGAGAGAGGGGAAGAACTAGGCACAGAGACTGGAAAGGTAAAGTGTGGAGGTGGAAGGAAGAGGCAAAGAAGATTTCAGCAATGTGGATTTTTTGGACTTCTGAGAAGTAGAGGGGCGATTGGTATAAGGTGTTGTACGAGGTCTTGTTGATACTGGGGCTTGTGAGGAAGGACGCGAAGATGTGAGAACAGACTGAGTTGTAGTCGGGACGTCAGAGCCAAGGACAACAAAAGGATTAGATGATGGAGTGGCTATGGGAGGGGTAACAACAGAGGAGGCTGCAGAAGATGGGACCCCAGAAGTAGGGGGATGTTTTGAAACACGAGAATAAGAAACACTGGGTAGTCTCCCTTGGAGGCAGAGATGAGTAACTGCCATAGCAGTTGCCGTTGCCTCTTTGAGGCAACGGATTTCACGTTCATTTAAGTAGACCTGGCAACGGCGGGAGTATGAAGGGTGAGCTTCATTACAATTAAGGCAAGATGGAGGTCGACTGCAAGATGTATTAGAATGGTCGTCGGCACCACAGACTGGGCATTCGGCTATAGATCTGCAATATTTCGCTGGGTGACCAAAACGCCAGCAATTTCTACACTGTTGCGGTGTAGGTATCACCTTTTGAACTTGTAACTGATGTCCCGTGACATATACAGAGGACGGGAGTTCTCGGCTGTCAAAAGTTAAACGAGCCACATTGCAAGGGTAAAGTCTCCGCCCACGGGCAGGAAGGACATAAGTGTCTACTTTGAGGATTGGGAGATCCTGGAGTTCCAGCTGTTCAAGAATGACTGGAAATTCTGTTGGACTATGGTATGGGGCAGAATGACAGTACCACTACAAGAATTGAGAGAAAGATGTTTTTCAATAGTGATAGGAGTAGTATCGATATTCGAAAGGAGAGAAAGATCATGAGCTTGGGTAGCATTCTGGACAGTGACGATGCGTGTACCACTCTTGAGAGCATGAAATGAAATATCTCTACCAACATGATGCAGGAGCGCTTTGCCAATACTATGGTCAGAAAGATAGGCAGAAGAAGAAGTCGGTCTTAAAGTAAAGAATTTAGTCCATTGTGTGGTCTGAAACAGTGTGGAGAGGGAGTGCATGACATGTCGGTCTTTTCCGAGTAGAATGGGAAGGTAACGAAGGAGCATCATCAGGAGATTGACATTGGCGTTTAGGAGTAGGACCGGAGTTGGTCCAGCGTGAAATGGGCTGGCGATTCGAAAATTGCCGTACCGTAGAGGGAGAGGGCGGAAGCATAGTCAAAGGAGAGCGGAGGTCAGACAAATCGAAGGAGTCAGTCGAAGCCTCGGTACCTGAAGCGGGTGAGGAAACAGCACCAGCAATAGGTACAGGGGCATCAGGAGTGTCCGAAGAGTGGTCTAAAAACAAGGCAGGGTCAGAGTGGGTTGCGGTATCAAGAAGGGGCCGGGGGTAGTGGGTTCATGGATTGGGTTCTCCATGGTTAGGTTACTCTTTTGCCTTTTGTTTAAGAAAAAAAAGAAAGAAGAAAAGAAAATAAAAATAAAAAAGGGGGGAGCGGGGAGGAATAGTTCCCAGGAGGAATGAAAGGGCCGGAAATCTCCCTCCGCTCCCAAGAGGACCTCAGCACCGCTAGTAGCTCAAATGCAGCATGGAACCCTTGCCATACCCTACCCTTCATGCCAGTAAACCAGCAATCTGGGATAGCAACCTCACATCTGCCGAGCTACCTCGGTGGACATAAGAGAGGGCGGTCGGATATCTGCCACAAAGCATACCTCCTTCAGCCACCACCCCCGGAATCTGAAAGGTGGCTTCCAGAGATACACCCGTCGCCCAAAAGACACCCAAAGCTACTCCGGGATACCGGAGAGGGATCGGGACATCCCCAGGCGATCCAGGTTCCACTGCAAACTACGCCACCGCCAAGAACCTCAACGGAATGGGATGGACCCTGGTATCCTTTCCCCTACCTAGGAACTAGCGCACCTGTGGGAGAAATCCCAAAGGCCAAAAAGAGGAAGGGCAAACAGGGAAGGTGGAGAGATAAGGCAAAAAAGGGGAATGGGATAGGGAGGGGGGGATTGGGGGGTAATTAGGTTCGGTCTGAGGAAGGAGACCGACAGGTCTGATTCCTCAGACCAAGAGCCTCTTCACCACAACAAGGAGCCCCCCTTGAAGAGGCATAAATCTGTAGTGGAGGGAAGGCAGGGTAGGGATCGGCCTAGGAAAGGTTGGAGGGAGGGGTTAAAGGTTTTGTGTGTGAAGGGCTTTGATTCCAGCAAGCATGCTTGAGCTTGTTAGATAGGAGCAAATGAAGACAGATGGTTTTTAGGTCTTGACATGCTGTTGGAGTGCAAGCAAGGCAACATTTATGAAGAGATTCAGGGAACCCAGCAGACTGGACCCGAGTCCTGTAGATGGGAAGTACAGTGCCTGTACTCTGAAGGAGGGGTGTTAATGTTGCAATTTTATAACTGTAGTGTAAGTGCACCTCTGGCAAGACAATGATGAAAGTTTTTCTTTTTCAGTCCACCCTCCCTTACTGGGAAATGGCCAATTTGTTAATAAAAATATTTTAAAATATAACCACTTCAGATTTTAATTGCACAGTTTAGGAATGAGGAAGGGAGAAAAATAGGATAACAGATATGTAAATCTGGGGTGGAGGGAAGGAGGTGTAGGGTTCCTCTTAGGAAAGATTGGAGGGAGGGGATTAATGAGGTTTTGAGTGCTAGGGGCTTGGACAGCTAAAAGGATTGTGTGACCATGTTAGGTAGAAGTGAGTAGAGGCAAGAGGTTTTTATGATTTGATGATCTATTGGAGTGTAAGGAAGGTAACATTTACGAAGGGATTCAAGGTAACTTATTAGCCAGACTCGAGACTTGGAAGTGGGAAGTATAGTGCCTGCACTTTGAAGGAGAGGTGGGGAGGCTGCAGTTTGGAGGGTCATCTGAACTGTAATGTAGCTCTTTTTTGGCAAAACAGTGACTGTCACATGTTCAGTGTTTTCTTCTTTGTCAGGTCACTCTGCCTCGGTGAGAGATCGCAAGAGTGTTAAAAAATTAAATGTTTGTTATAAATTCATTAAAGGAATAAGATAAGTAGAGCATATTGTGTAATGCAAAAAGTCTACCACAACTGACTGCAAGCTTGAAAAACCTTCCAGGTAGTTGCACTTCAAACGTCACCCACAGACAATTTTAATGCAGTGAATGTGTGTTTTAAAAGAAAAAATTGCATGCTTTTGTCACTTGTAATGGAAATATAAAGTGATATCTCTATTTCAGATATATTAAAGGCAACATGAGCAATATGGCAGTGATGGATGTGTCACTGCCCTCAGGATATGTTGTGGATAATGACTTGATTCCTGGTGAGTGAATAGCCCTTATTGGAAGCTGTACTTAGTATGTAGGTACTAAAACTGAAACCCAGTGAGCAACACTTAACTGATACAGGTAATGTTGCCCTCATGACAAATATTTACTGAATTATCTTACCTGATATTTTGCTAAGTCACCCTTTTACTAGTACCATTAAACTTTAAAAAATTCAGTTTGATGTGATAAGAGTTATGTACCATGTGGATCTCACTGTACTGTATACATTAATTTATAAGGTGTGTAGTACAGTATATTCTTACATTTGGCAGGCCTGTATGACTATACTGGGGTAAAGCTGGTAGAGAAGAAAACAGATGACTCTGGTGTGGTGGTGTATTTTGACTACCTGACACCAGTGGAAGTGTGTCCTACTGTATCTGCCTACAGGATCAACAAGGTGGCTTTCCAGAAGGCCTCACCTGTCCGGGTTTATGATTATTATGACACGTGTGAGTTTGCTATACTATCACTTTGCATGCCAATTTTGTCTTATAGATCAATCTCCAGGTCTATGAATTAATTAGTAATATGTGTACTAATTATGTCATATAATAAGTCTGCTTTGTCATGGTTAAAACTGTCGAGCTCATCATTTTTGTTTCGATTGGTGGTGGAGCATAAGGTGCCACCTCTTTCAGCTAGACTGCACATAAGCAGCCAGCTACTGGCTCACTTCTTTTAGAAGCAAGTACTGCATTATTTTTTTTTTTCCCAAATTTGGGCAGTGCCTTGTATGCTGGAATATAGTCATTACATTACTAAAATCACTTTTGGTCAACAATGATCATTAGCCTTCAGCATTTTTCTCCATTATAAACAGAGAAGCACAAATGCTACCTATTCTACAGTATCTTGTTTATACTAGTTGCATATATTCAAAGTTTATTCTCTATAAGGATTACAATGCTGAGTTTACAGAAATTTGGTTGTGTGGTTTACATGTAGTAAAATTGTGATTACAGAGTGTACCACTAGAACGCTTAGCATGGCTAGGCATTTCGGGCAGACTTAGTTTTATTCTTAATTGTAAAATATTACAAATTATGAGGTAAGTTGGTATTATGGCTAAGTGACTAAATACTAGTTTGTGAGTTTAGCAATGTGAATGCTTTTGTTTTGGCACAGTACATAGTTTCAGTATTGGAGTATCACAGGATTCATTATTTTAAGATTGAGATTGTGTGTTCACTAGTAAAACTCATGTTGTTACTATATGAATAAAAACAAACATAGGAACAAGCCTTTATTGTTGACAACCCTTTCATTTAAAAATTTTTAATTTGTACTATATATCCACTCAATTTAGAAAAGGATAATCAGGAGGATGGATTTTACGAGTGAGGAGCAACGAACATTGTACACTAGGATTTGTTTGCCCGAAATACCTCGGCATGATAAATCAAAATTGTAATTACGCATTTTAACCTTTGCAAAGAAATAAAATCTGTAATCTTTTTTAATCTTTAAGGTAAAGGGATTAAGTGGGTCCTGTTACATCATATTAATTTTGGCTCGTTGTCAGTTAAAAATAGGAGAGGAGAGTTATTAAATGGAGAGTTAGAGGTATTGGGAAGATGGAAGGAATATTTTGAGGAATTGTTAAATGTTGATGAAGATAGGGAAGCTGTGATTTCGTGTATAGGGCAAGGAGGAATAACATCTTGTAGGAGTGAGGAAGAGCCAGTTGTGAGTGTGGGGGAAGTTCGTGAGGCAGTAGGTAAAATGAAAGGGGGTAAGGCAGCCGGGATTGATGGGATAAAGATAGAAATGTTAAAAGAAGGTGGGGATATAGTTTTGGAGTGGTTGGTGCAATTATTTAATAAATGTATGGAAGAGGGTAAGGTACCTAGGGATTGGCAGAGAGCATGCATAGTTCCTTTGTATAAAGGCAAAGGGGATAAAAGAGAGTGCAAAAATTATAGGGGATAAGTCTGTTGAGTGTACCTGGTAAAGTGTATGGTAGAGTTATAATTGAAAGAATTAAGAGTAAGACGGAGAATAGGATAGCAGATGAACAAGGAGGCTTTAGGAAAGGTAGGGGGTGTGTGGACCAGGTGTTTACAGTGAAACATATAAGTGAACAGTATTTAGATAAGGCTAAAGAGGTCTTTGTGGCATTTATGGATTTGGAAAAGGCGTATGACAGGGTGGATAGGGGGGCAATGTGGCAGATGTTGCAAGTGTATGGTGTAGGAGGTAGGTTACTGAAAGCAGTGAAGAGTTTTTACGAGGATAGTGAGGCTCAAGTTAGAGTATGTAGGAAAGAGGGAAATTTTTTCCCAGTAAAAGTAGGCCTTAGACAAGGATGTGTGATGTCACCGTGGTTGTTTAATATATTTATAGATGGGGTTGTAAGAGAAGTAAATGCGAGGGTCTTGGCAAGAGGCGTGGAGTTAAAAGATAAAGAATCACACACAAAGTGGGAGTTGTCACAGCTGCTCTTTGCTGATGACACTGTGCTCTTGGGAGATTCTGAAGAGAAGTTGCAGAGATTGGTGGATGAATTTGGTAGGGTGTGCAAAAGAAGGAAATTAAAGGTGAATACAGGAAAGAGTAAGGTTATGAGGATAACAAAAAGATTAGGTGATGAAAGATTGAATATCAGATTGGAGGGAGAGAGTATGGAGGAGGTGAACGTATTCAGATATTTGGGAGTGGACGTGTCAGCGGATGGGTCTATGAAAGATGAGGTGAATCATAGAATTGATGAGGGAAAAAGAGTGAGTGGTGCACTTAGGAGTCTGTGGAGACAAAGAACTTTGTCCTTGGAGGCAAAGAGGGGAATGTATGAGAGTATAGTTTTACCAACGCTCTTATATGGGTGTGAAGCGTGGGTGATGAATGTTGCAGCGAGGAGAAGGCTGGAGGCAGTGGAGATGTCATGTCTGAGGGCAATGTGTGGTGTGAATATAATGCAGAGAATTCGTAGTTTGGAAGTTAGGAGGAGGTGCGGGATTACCAAAACTGTTGTCCAGAGGGCTGAGGAAGGGTTGTTGAGGTGGTTCGGACATGTAGAGAGAATGGAGCGAAAGAGAATGACTTCAAGAGTGTATCAGTCTGTAGTGGAAGGAAGGCGGGGTAGGGGTCGGCCTAGGAAGGGTTGGAGGGAGGGGGTAAAGGAGGTTTTGTGTGCGAGGGGCTTGGACTTCCAGCAGGCATGCGTGAGCGTGTTTGATAGGAGTGAATGGAGACAAATGGTTTTTAATACTTGACGTGCTGTTGGAGTGTGAGCAAAGTAACATTTATGAAGGGATTCAGGGAAACCGGCAGGCCGGACTTGAGTCCTGGAGATGGGAAGTACAGTGCCTGCACTCTGAAGGAGGGGTGTTAATGTTGCAGTTTAAAAACTGTAGTGTAAAGCACCCTTCTGGCAAGACAGTGATGGAGTGAATGATGGTGAAAGTTTTTCTTTTTCGGGCCACCCTGCCTTGGTGGGAATCGGCCGGTGTGATAATAAAATAAAATAGTTACTTTCAAGATGTGGATTGATTGTAAGTGCTCATTTGTTATCTTCTTTTGGTCAAAACTGTATTACAGCCACTTTTAATCCAAAGTTCTTGACAGTCTTTAACAGAACTGTAGGAAGTTTGGTTCCATCTCTGGCATAACTTCTACTGGATTAACCCAAAATAAGTAAAAATGACAAAGTCCAATTATGTTCTTTCTTCACCTTACACACCAGTGTTCCCTAAATATCCCTTCCATCACCTAATTCATCATCTCCCTTCCACTGCTCTTCTATTGCAGTGGGATGTATTGCCTAAAATGTTACTTTTAATGGACAATGATAACTCTTCCAAAGCAAAAAGTTGCCTACAACAAAGATTGTTCTTATGTGGTACAGCAATTTTTATTCACATATTTGTTTGCCTGCACTATAAAGGAGGGGTTTGGAATATTGGCTGTTTGGAGTGACATCTAAACTTTTTTATCGGAGTGCCTCTACAAAGATAGTGAAATTTTTTTTTTTGGGTCACCCTACCTCAGTGGAAGATGGCCAGCGTGTTAAAAAAAAAAATGTTGGCAGTCCTTAAACTGCTGTATATCCATAGCTGATATATATGATCTGTCTATACCTAATGTGCTAACTTCATCTATATATGGTTGATGAGTGTGCCTGATCTAATGTGTTTAGCTGATATGTCTGTGATAAAGTATTTACTAATGTGTGCCTAGGATATTAACTAATGTTTTTGACTCATCTGTGTATGCTTAGTGTTTTAACTAATATATTACGTGGTACAGCTCGTCAGGCCCGCCAGTTCTACAAGGCTCTGCCAGCCACACTGTGTGACATCTGTGATCTGGACGAGTGTGATCCCGGTCAGTGTGAGCAGCAGATCATTGAACTTAATCGTCAACAACAGGTGTGTCCTTCGTGCTACACATACAGCTGTAATTGTTTTAAAAAAATACATTTATACACTCAAGTAAAATTAATTTACATACAGCATTAAGGATTAACTATATAGTTATATAAAATTAAGTTAATTTTTTTGTATTATTATTATTATTATAATCAAAAAGAAGCGCTAAGCCACAAGGGCTATACAGCTATTTTTTTTTTTTTTTTTTTTTGTAGACATAACTAAATCAGTAAAAGTTTGTAATAAATTATTAGTTTTTTTTTTTGCGCTAAGGATAGTCTTGGCTGACATTATTATAATCAAAAGAAGTGCTAAACCACAAGGGCTATACAGCTGGCTGACAGATGAAAACTAAATTTGATAATTTCAGGACCCTGATGACATAGAGCGACCAGCCACAGTGACGGAAGTGTCTGGTGGAATGACGTATGGGCCCACCATCCTATTGTCTCTCCTTACCCTGCTGGCTACAGTCTTCCTTCACTCTCCTTACTAGCAACTCTCCTCCTTCGCAGGACACTCTCAGACACTGTGATAGATGAAATGCAATGCAAATCTCGGGGTTGTGTGCACTACACATGCTGTCGTAGCAATCCTAGAGTACCCAGCATGAAGGAAAATATTAATCCAAGGCTGTGTCAGGGTTGACCATGACAATAAGGCTTAAGTTAAGAGTCCAAAGAGTTGGCCACAATTGTGATGGCTTGATATTCTCTGGAGCAAAAGAAAAATAAGTATAATCTGTAAATAGTCTTAGCTTTGTAAATAAAATTTTTCTTACACTTAGGGTTATGGTGAAAGAGCTTTTTGGGTTTGCATCTGAAACCATGCTAGGTGTATAAAGGAAGCTAAGAATAATTATGCATCAGATGGTATGCAGGTGATTGTATGATTGTGATTTTGAGGGTGCAGGATTCTCTCTGGACCCAGATTCTTAATGATTTTGTGGAATCAAACTTTGGGCTGAAACTGATGCAGCACCAACATCACTGGTGTTGTATATAGAGCTAGCTGGATATGTTGCCATATTGCAGTTGAGAGAGAGAGAGTACTTAGAGCTATTTAAGAATCTGGGTCCTTGAGCACAGGGAACGACTTGTGTGGGCCTAAGAAATTTCAAAACTTTTCGTGGCCCCGAGTCGAGTCTTAATCCCGTTACACTCCTGAAAATTACACTGTTCACTTTAAGCTAAGGTCAGACTTTTTATTTTACAGGCAAAGGTGAATAATTCAAATTTATTTAGAAAATAAGAGCCAAATTATTCCACAAACTGTAGTTCTGAGCCGAGCACTTCCAAATATCAAAGGAAACATTTTCTAGTGGGGAAATTTTTACACCAGTCAGCAATAATATAGCCATTTTCAATTTCTTCTAAAATAGAAATATTAACTTTAGTTAGCCTGTAAAACAATAAGTCTGACCTAATGCACAGTAATGTTGTTAAGTACAGTAACTTGAGCTACTCACCAAAAAACTAGTGCTACTTGTTTGTATCTTGTACGTAACTCTTCTGTAATTTGAGGTACTTGTGAATATATTGCTCCATCAGGCTTATGGCATTTAAATTATACAGTGTAACTGACTCCCATGTATACCTCTGCTGTTGCTGTAAGATAATGTGTGTAGTTAATATACCATATTATTATGAGATTTCTTTTTCAACACATCGGCCATATCCCACCAAGGCAGAGTGACCTAAAAAGAAAAAGAAAAGTTTTTCTTATTAGGTTTAGTAACTTATACAGGAGAAGGGGTTACTAGCCCCTTGCTCCCAGCATTTTAGTTGCCTCTTCTGACACATGGCTTACAGAGGAAGAATTCTTTTCCACTTCCACATGGAGAAGTTTTATCAGAGTAAATTTTTCATCAGCTTTTTGTACATGAGCAAAAATTTATTACATTTCCATTCATAGATTAAAATAAAAAAATTCAGTGACAAAACTTATAGGAGAAAAAAATTGTAACAGTAGTTACCAACAACAAAGGTTACCCAATAAAACTGATCAATTTAAGGTTAGAATCTAATATGAAAAGCCCATGACCCAATGAAGTAAGTCGATAGCATGAGCAGAAAATCAACATCCATCTTTACCTTTTACATCGTCTGCCTGTCTGTTTTTAACCATTACATCATATACCTCTGTGTCTTTAACTGTTATATCATATCCCTCCAACTATTACATCAGCTGCCTGTGTCTAACTATTACATCATAAAAATTTGAAGAAAAATGAAAGTCTCAGCAAACTTAGCAATACCTTCTTCAAATACTCAAGTGACAGTGAAAACTTAAGGATGTGGAATGTTTGATGAAGACATACAAGAATATCTTAGAATTATACCAAGAGCTTTAATATGCTATAAAATAATTTTTTTTTCTGTTACAAATCTACATTCCTTGTTGATAACACTTATGTTGTCCATGAATATCAAAAATACACACGCTTCACAAAATATATGGGGAATGTTGAGGGTTCAGCTATATTCTTTTCAAACTGATGATGTATAGCTGTGAACTGTTTAGCAGCTTGCTACTAACAGATAATTTTGCTACATTGGTGTAGAATTTCTATTGATAATCAATAAAGAAATTGCCTACAGATATTTTTATTATTCCTTTGCATTTGCCTGTGTCTATTTGCAATTATGCAAAACATCCACTGTGAAAAAATAGTGCACTTCACTTCCAAGTGCTTTTGTGATTTCTCACATTATCAAGGAACTGTAAATATAATAGAACAGCTGAAGGCTTATAAGGCAGAGATAACACCTCACAGTCAACATACGACACCTCACCTTTCCCTTTATGATGAAGCAGGAGAGATGATCCAGGACTTGTCAAACATAACTTAAATTCTTCCCAAATTTTATTAATTATAAATGAGTCTAATATGTATAATCCTAATATTCATATTAAAATCAAAGCTATTTTTTTATTAAGCTTGATTCAATTATACAGCTTCTCCTCACTTAATGACCGAGTTCTGTTCCTAATACCATGTCAGTAAACAAATTCGTCACTAAGTGAGGAGCTTACTATAATGGTAATGGGTTTGTGTCAACCATCTTTGATGCTGTTTTAATGTCACCTTTGCACCACTCATAACATCTTTAGTATATTTTTAAACGTTTGTACAGTAGCGTACTGTACAGTACACTACTGTACAAACCCAAACCTCGCCAATATCCAAACAGGCCCTGGGAAGGGGCAAAATTCTAAAATTATTCCCGAAACATCTGAACAGCCGTTCAGTTGTTTTCTGCTGCCTCAAAAACTGGAAAAAGTGCCGAAAGAAAAGTGATGGCGAAGCCACAGAGCTTGGAACTTGATCAGTGTGTGATGAAGTTGTACCTACAACAATGGGGTAGTGGTACGGTGGTTCATGGCGCCAAACTTATAATGGCTGAAGAAATCTGGGAGGCTGTTATTCAAGCCCACAGTATCTGGTCCCACCCCCGGAAGACATTGGACTAACTTTTTAAACTTACAACGCTGTCGCCGTTGGGGATATGACAATACGGTTGCGCATTTTTTCCCCCCTCACATATCCGAAAACTCAGCATTTCTGAACTGATTTAGGCCCATATAGTTTGGATATGAGAGGTATCACTGTATATTGTAATAAACATAATAGAGGAAATCAGCTCTATACATATTTAGGTATGCATACTAGTCAGAGAGCCTGTTGTAAGTCCAAGTCGTCAGTAAACGAGTATGTCAGTGAGGAGAGGCTGTATTTCTCTCAACCACAGACTTGCCTGATGAAGCTTTCTCAGCTTTTTGAAAATTGGATGGTTGAAATCTCCTGCACATATAAACAGTGTATTAGACTCTTGTCCTATTCTAATGCTATATTTATGTCGTAATCTGAGTTCAAGGCTGTTCCCAGTATGATCGTAATAAACTTTATTGCATTTTTAACAAGGAATCTTGTAGACTCAGCCATCAGTATTTTGGGGGTAGATTTTTAATCAGAAGTTTTTTTTACTGTATCAAGATTTTTAAATACAGCTTTGATTTTAAAATTCTTAACTGGAGAAGGTATATGAAGAAGATTTTCATGGTAAGGGAGAACCAATATATTCTTAGATGAATATGATTGTCTGCACTTATATTCGTATGTCATATCTACACCTATAATCAGTATGGGTACCTGTGTATGTCTGCATGTCACATCACCAATGATTAATAATTACGTGTACTTGAATTTCTTGCTCAACCCATTAAGGTACAAATCTTGGTAATGGATTCTGACCAAATAGTTTAAAAAGACGCATGACTAAACACCAGGACATATTAGAAAAGTTTTGACATGTTAGAAATGATCAAGGTCCTAGGACATGACCAGGACCAATATGCACATAGAAGGTCAAAAAAATATGAAGCCCCCTGCCAGAGCATAACAAAATTCCTCTACCTGTCTACAGATTCAAGAATACAGTAAAACATTTAAATCTAAATTTATCTTATCTTGGATATTTTTAACCATGCTTACAATGGAAATAAGTAAAGGACCCCAATGGAAATACAGTGGTACCTCGAGTTACAAACTTAATTCGTTCCAGAAGGCTGTTCGAGTGCCATACTGAACGAATTTGTTCCCATAAGGAATAATGTAAACTAGATTAGTCTGTTTCAGACCCCCAAAACTACATTTACATAATTGTTCAAGTTGGTAGCTGTTCAAAACTTGAGGTACCACTGTAAGTCACTGACTTTTTTTGGGTTATCCTAGGTTCTCTACACATATGCTGCTAGGTATGATAATCTATGTAACTATTTGTATATACCTGAATAAACTTAGTTACTTACACTCTAAAGGAGGGATGAAGATGTTGCAGTCAGAGAGGTGATTGTGACATCAGCACACTTCTGTAAAGACAACTAAATCAATGTCAGTGAAAGTGCTTCTTCAGATCACCCTGCCTTGGCAGAGGTAGCATAAGAATCTACATTCCATTTATTAGGTATCCCCCAAAAGGATATAGTACCTATAGTAGGTGTCAGTTTTTTCTTAGGTATCCTCTAAAATGGAATTACTGCAGCACTTACAATGGATGTCAATTTTTTCTTTGTGGTTTCTGTGCAATAACTTGTGAATGCCTTTTCTGATCAGCTGTAAACTTTCAGCATTGGGGTAACTTAGAAAAAGGGTCAGATTTTTAATGGGCTGTCTAGGTACCAATTTTATGCATGCAAATACAACATGACAGATGCTCAGTCTCAGCCTGAAGCAAAAGGCATGCAGCCAGACCTTATATATACTGGAGCAGATGTGAGGTGAAATACCTGGAGTTATCATCAAAGGTGAGCATGTCTTACCAGTGGAAGTATATCATGCCAAATAGATGTTTACCAAAGGTGCTGCAGGAGACTCCTTGTACCAAAATACCATATAGTATTGTGTACCATTGTTAATATTATACTTGTGACATAGCAGTAGTATGGTGTCTTGGTACATGGGAAGGCTTCTGCAACTGCTTTGCTAAATAGCTATTTAGCATGACCTACTTCCATGCTTTAGCATGGCCACTCACCAGCTGCTTGCTTCATACTTCTGCTCTACTATAATCTGGCCACATATCTCTGCCCTAGGATGAGCAAGTGATCACCTCAAAATTACTTTTATCTCCAGTATTATATTGGACTGAAGAAGCCTGCTGTGCAGGTATAACTTTTGGTAAAAATAAATTCCCAGGAGTTGCATATGTGTCTTTTTCATTATATAAGTTAGGAAAACTATTAAAACAATTCTTCCATTAACCATGGTACCTGGAAATAAATGGTATAAATTACCGACACAATGGAAAGAAAACACATATGCAGTATAATGTGATCCTTTATTGACTACGTTTTGCCCACACAGTGGGCTTTTTCAAGTCACAAACAGATCTACCTGGGGTGGAAGGGATGCGAGTATTTATAGTCAGGTTCAGAATGTTGAGGTCAGGTGGAGAATGCTGCATGTGATGATGTACCGAGTGGGGTTATAGAGTCTAAAATCTTGGGTAGCTTGGAAAGGAGATTGGATAAGTTTGTGAGCAGACCTTCTGCAGTGTTCTTCCATTCCTGTGTTCTTATGTGGGATAGCGATGAAGAAGTTTCTTGGCAAGTGGTTCAGCTATGTTATAGAAGCCACTATTCTGGTTGAAGTTGTCGGATATAGAAATAAGTGATGATTCCAGGATTCTTCGGTATTGAGTGTTGTCTTCTGTGGCGATAAGTCTTGAGCTTCTGTAGTTTATCAAGTGGTTGTGTGAATTACGGTGTTGTACACAGGCATTCCTTGTGTCGTCAGACCTGCTTGCGTACTGGTGTTCTGAAATACGTGTTTGGAGGTTCCTTGATGTTTCGCCCACGTATAATTTGTTGCAATCATTACAAGGGATTATGTATACCCCTGCAGAGGGTGGAAGCTTGTCCTGTCTATCACTGGTAATGTCCTTGATGGTCGTGGTTGTGGAGGTAGACACTTGGAATGAGGTATTGGAAAAGATGTTGGAAACATGTTTGGCAATGGAGTTAGTGTGGAGGACTATGTATCACTTCTCGGCAGTGTCTTCTCTGGGTGTGTTGAAGATGTTTAATGCCCGTCGTCTGCAGTCTCTGATGAAGTGACGAGGATAGTGGAGTTTAGAAAATACTTGTTCAATTATAGTGCATTCTTCTTCAAGAAACTCATTGCTGCAGATTCTGAGTGCACGCAGGAAGAAGCCTATAATTACACCACGTTTAGTTTTGGTGTCGTGGTGAGAGTAGAAGTGGAGAAGATCGTTTTGGTTGGTGGGTTTTCGATCGACTTTAAAACGAAGTTCATGGTCAGCTTTGCAGAGAAGAACATCAAGGAAAGACAGAGTGTTGTCGACTTCTTCTTCAAGTGTGAACTGGATTGAAGGCTCGACCTGGTTGAGCTTGTCTTGGAGAGCTTGAACGTTTAAGCATTTAGGAGTTATGAGGAGAATGTCGTCAACATAACTGAGCCAGGTGACAGACGAAGGAATAGCGGTGAAGAAACGTTCGGCGTCTAGATGTTCCATGTATAGGTTCGCCAGGACCGCACTGAGTGGCGAATCCATGGGTAGTCCAAAAGTCTGCTGAAAGAGGTGATTTTCGAAAAAGAAACACGTAAAGCCAACACACAGTTCAACAAGGTCGATGAAATCGCTGGCTGGAATGGGAAGATCAAGTGAATCGTCAATTTTCCTGCGCAAGAGATCGATGGCTTGTGTAGTAGGTACTTTGGTGAATAGGGAAGTCACGTCAAGGCTGGAAAGTTTCTTGTTCCTGATGTTGATGTTGCGAATGCGATTTGAGAAGATCACCCGAGTGTTTGAGATGTGCTGGACTGATAGTGCCCAAGAGTTTAGAGAGGTGTTTAGCGAGAATTCCTGAGAGCTGGTGGGGAGCACTGCCTATTCCCAAGGATATGGGCCTCAGTGGGATACCAGGCTTGTGAGTTTTTGGTAGGCCGTACATTCTGGCAGGTCTGGGGTTGCTGGGCATGGTGTGCAGAAGTTTCTTCCCTTGTTCTGAGCCCCTCAGAATGCGGCGAGTCCTTTGAAGAAAAGTTTTAGTAAGGTTGTCCACTTGG